GCATGGCATGTATTCATGTTCTTACATGACACGCATGTCATGACTGTCACGTGTGCACCTTCGTCATCAAACATACCCGCATGTTATGACCAGCTTATGGCATAAATGGTCTTCTCTGGTACTGTTCCTGACATGGTGACACCTGTACAACAGCAAAAAAGACTAAGCAGATTATCATTGCTGATTTCCTTGAACGTTTGAGCTGCATTTGACGATGTATTGCATCAAGCCATCCCGGACGCTTCAGGCAGCAGTTACATGAAAGGCTACATCTATCTACAGGTATTCGAAAGAGATAAATTGTTTGTGAAGACAGAAAACGGTATGTTAATGCACCTTTCTACTCGTCAAGTTGTACGTCAAGGCGTGTCCTCAGCCACATACTGTTTAACCTTAAGCTCATCGGCGTTTTTGATTTGCTGGCACGATCGATGCATTTATTAATATACGCAGGCAACATGAGCTTCTGAGCACAGGAGATGGCACGTCTGCATGTACGAGCAAGCATCAGAGAGTGCACACTGATGTCAAGCTACCTTCGAGGACGGGAACTAGAGCGGCCGTCTGAGAAATGACCGCTTGCCAATGACCAGAAATCGATGTCTAGAATTAGTGGCTGCACAACGAGCTGTAAACAAACCCAGCGCTTCGTGGCAGTAATCATACATTGTGACTGGTTCTGAAGCCTTCACACCCCTAAAAAAGTTTGACAGATGCCATGCACCTTTTCAATCAACGTTATGCGAACCATATTGCTTCATAAAGAAAGCAACAGGTTACCAATCAAGAAGGGTGTAAGGCTGGGAGATACAATCTTCCCAAAGCTATTTACCACGTGCTTACATGAGGTTTTCAGATGCCTAAATTGGGAACAGTTAGAGTTAAGAGTTAATGGAGAGTACCTTAGTTACCTGCGCTTAGCCGATGACATTGCATTGCTTAGTAACTTAGGGGACGAATTGAAACTTATGATTTTGGAGTTAGACAAGGAGAGCAGAAAGAGGGGTCTTAAAATTAATCTGCAGAAAAGAAAACAAAAGTAATGTACAACAACCTCGGAAGAGAGGACCGCTTCGAGATAGGTATTAGTCCACTTCAAATTGTAAAAGACTATGTCTATTTAGGACAGGTAATAACCGCAAGGCCGAACCATGATATTGAAGTAACTAGAAGAACCAGAATGGGGTGGAGCACATTTGGAAAGCACTCTCAAATCATGACAGGTAGATTGTCACTATCCCTCAAAATAAAGGTATATAACAGCTGCATCTTGCCGGTACTTAGCTATGGAGCAGAAACCTGGAGACTTACAAAGAGGGTTCAGATTAAATTGAGGACGACGCAGTGAGCAATGGAAAGAAAAATAGTAGCTGTAACCTTAAGATACCAGAAGAGAGCAGAGTGGAAACGGGGGTTAAGGATATTATAGTTGAAATAAAGAAGAGTAAATGAGCATAGGCCGGGCATATAGCGCGTAAACAGGATAACCTCTGCTCATTAAGGGTAACTAACTGAATTCCCAGAGAAGGCAAGTTGGTTAGGGGGAGACAGATGGTTAGGTGAGCAGATGAGATTAAGATGTTTGCGGGTATAAATTGGCAGCAGCCATCAGGGACCAAGGTGACTGGGGACACATGGGAGAGGCCTTTGTCCTGCAGTGGACGTAGTCAGACTGATGATGATGATGATGAATATGCGAAGCGTGTGGATGGAAGGTGATGATGCTGTAATATTCCACTGAGCGACAAGTCATCACCTGACGCTACAAATATGTGTATGCGTTGCAGCACAGTCATACGATATGTTAACAAATTTCTGATGTTATATAACCAGTTTGTACCTGCGCGTTGATTCTAACAGGACCATAAGTATTAGCAGTACCAGAAGCGATGAGCTGATATAAAGTGCGTGTGTCGCAAGTAAAGTAGCCCTGGACACAGTTACATTTATGAAATTCAGCGCATGACACCCAACTAAAATTGACGATACCAACCGGGACTCGCCCGTTCTCAAAACAGTACACATGTAAGCTTTATATAGTTGGTATGACAGCACGTCAACAACAATTGGCGTTTCACGAACATTAGTATCTACTTGAGAGGTAGTTTCCAGACGTGGAATGGCTCTGTGGTAGAATTCTTGATTGCCACGCATTGATTTTGATTGGCTTTGATTCCTACTTGGATACTTACATTATTATTTCGACTACTCAGGTCAGCGCTGCCAATGTGAGATTTTTGTTTACTCTCTTACGTTAAAATTGCCCAAGCGTGTGTGTTGTCATCGTTCCTGGGTAGAGCCTTAGATGGTAAGTTTCAATCACCGGTGTCACATACTCGTATGCCAGTGGCACATTTCCACCCGCGGGTACACGCCTTTGTTAGGTGGGAAGGGTTTGACAACGTACGCAACGAGATTAGGACATTATTCATGTGTTGACCAGTGCGTCAAACTCAATATACCGTACTAGTTTACAATCCCGTACTACAATCCCGTACTAGTTTACAATCCCGTACTTACAATCCCGTACTAGTTTTGGTTCACGCGAAGTTAAGGGGGTGATCACGAGAGCGCCCGAACGTAAGCGGTGAACTAGATAGATAGATAGATAGATAGATAGATAGATAGATAGATAGATAGATAGATAGATAGATAGATAGATAGATAGATAGATAGATAGATAGATAGATAGATAGATAGATAGATACTGAAAGCGCGCACGGTACGCAAAACGAACCTCATCGGGATCGACTGCGCCCTATGGTTTCTGGCGGAAAAATATGGGGGCATTGGCATGAGCCATGCATGCTGCAACTATATACTCTACTTTTCCTCAGCTTCATGTGATACAGCACGCCAGGGCTGGAGAATGACTGAAGAACAAAAGTAGCCATACTGCAGTTCATACAAGCTGAAACACTGAGTGTATGCCTTCAGATTTCAAGATGTATATTCACAGCAGCGACTGTGCCATTACTCGCGACCACTGTTTCACAAAATGTACTTGCGTTGATTCTTTTGTAATGCACATAAGGCACATAAGCAGTATCACCCGGATTATATCCTACGAACTTGTTTAGCATTCTGCTTCCAAGTGAATCAATGCATGTTCTTTAACACCTGAGGCGCAGAAAAAAAGATAACAATGGACTAAGGGAAGAACGAGGACAAGCGCTAACATTCAACCAAAATTTTTATTGCATAGCACCAAGAATATATACCTTTCACATGACATCAAAATCAAATCAATCGATGCACAACTATAACACAAAAAACTAAGCAAATAAGACGTTGGCTGAGTCCATTGTCGGTAGGCAATCTATTGAGACGTTGTTGCGCTTGGCAAGTGCTCTCAGCGACTGACTATCGGCAGTGACGTTCATTGTACTGTTCTTTTCGTTTCTTCGTCTCCTTTTTATACTATTCCTTTTTTCTCATTTTCTATTCTGTGACCTCTACCCCAGCACAGGATAGCCAACTGGTCTGAGAACTGGCTTTTCTTCCTGTCCTTCCTTTCCTCCTATTGCTCTTCTCTTTCTGTTTAGCCTTCATCTTTACCCTGTTAGCCTTGGTTCTCTATCAGTGGCGCTCTTGTTTGACAAAAACTGCGTTGCCATGATGACGGCTAGAAGCTTTTGCAGCCGTTTCTCAGGCTTGCTGTTGCGGTTTCTCCTTTTAGTAGACCTGTGGTTAGTTGCAGGATTTACCAAATATTCGAAACAGATACCCGTTTACAAGGCGACAGCTTTGTGATCTGAGATGCAAGTATCAAGGCTTCAAAAATATTCTTCAATTGCTGACTACCATGCCTGAAAGAGATAAACCCACATTTTTATTTTTTATCCTGTCAGCGTTCATTTCAAAGACAATCTTTTATGTTCAGCTGTTCACTAGTAATATTGACATCGCAGTTTTTTAACGTTTAGGCACAGCTGCTAGTTAATATTAAAATTGAACTTGTACTTTCTTGTAGTACAAGACAAGTGTGATGGTGTTTCATTGTGCCGAGTGTCTCTCAGGTGTACTATATTATTTACCTGCTGAAATTTTATTAGAACTTGCTTTTGTATCACTGAGTTATGAATCAACGCTGAAGTGACAATTCAGAATAATTGCGAATAACTCAACGAGAAATGAGTGAGGGTTAGTATGTGCTGAAACGGTGCTTTTCCACAATTCAAAGTGAAAGTTTATTTAAAGGACCGAGTGTGTTTTATGCTATATTCTCATTTGCGAACACATGGTCGACTCAGCAAGGGGCTAGAACTTTTGTATTGTTAGCGTTATTAATTTCAACTTGCTATGCCAGAAATAAAAAGATGTTCACTCACAGCTTTTTTCCCTACTGAATTTGCTATCTTGTTGCCAAGAAGCAGATTGTATTATTAACGAGAATTCAGTTGCCGAGGTAAAAAGAGGTAAAAAGCGCTAGCTCTTATTCAAACATACAGCCAGAAAAATGATTAGGATGTTACATTGAGAGCAAACGTTAATCACTGGCAAGACGCTGTGACACAACCAACAAAAAAGGCCGTAAAAACAAGGATGGCACTGTGACTGTTGATACAAGCTTCCAAACTTAACGTAGACCGGCTTTAATTGTCACAGGTAGTCTTGCTAGTAGTGTTTGCGAGCGTTGATTGCTTGAATGGCTTATTTTTCAGAGGGTAGTTATTACTAAAGGCTTCTGAAAATTGCAATTATATTTTTGATAAACCTCTTTTAGTTAAAATTTTCCACCATCAAACTTTCTAATAAAGCTTCAATCGAGTCATTTAAATAGGTGTTTACGTCTAAGTATGCATTCTTGGTAACTAATCTTTATTTAGGTTACCCGTTATTGTTACGTTTTTGCTGCAATGAACCACTACTTACGTGCACTGCATTTTACGTGCACAGGTTTGTAGTGCTGCCCAGCAGTACACAGCTTAGTGGGCTGCATTGTGTCCAAAAACAAGATATTACCACAAATCGTTACAAAATAATATAGAAATGACGCCTCATTGTTATTCTTTTTTTATTTTTCATTCCAGTGAGTAGTTTCCTCGTTTTGTTCTTCTCGGGTCTGCCCGGCACTCTCCGTTTATACATATCTGCAGAATATTGAGAGAAACATTTATGAGATATGCATGCATCAAACACATTTCATTCAGAGATGATCATGACCAGGATAGGGAGATATATAGACGTAGCACCTTCTCAGGTTATTCATAGCAGCGGCATGACTTTACTGAGTCTGGAATGGGCAGAGAAACGTAGCTACAAGGAATCAATCCCGGTTGTATAAAGCCACTGGAACATTCTGGTAAACTTTTCGTGTCATGTCGGAAACAGCCTGGCTTCTCAGTCCCTAACATTTTACAGTAGAACTCTATGTATTTCCAATTGGTGGCATTAAATGGTCCTAGGAAACTGGATGCTCCATGCTGTGAATGTGCGAATCAACGAAAATGTTTCTGGGTGTTTCTGGGACGCATAACGGGGAGCAGTTTTGGTGACTTGCTTTTTCGTGAATTGCGGCTGCTTTTCGCCTAATTCTCATTCAGTTATGGCAGATCGCCATTCCAGCCAAAGAGAGGAGGCACCACATACAGCTATCCCCCAAGTCCTGGAAATGTTGCTTGCGGACATGTGGCTTCAAAGGTGAATCAGTGACCACTATGTTTCACATATGACTTACTCAGTGGTAGCTATCTTTTATACATGCATGTAGAGAAAGGCTATTTTGCAGAACCAGAAACACTTTTGGGAAGTTCCTACTTTATGTTGACGGCGCTTTAATTGGGGATCTTATGGCTACAGCGATGCGGAACTTAGTGTCACGAGTAAATAAATATAAAGAGTCTAAATCATACATGTCGCGGCTTAAAAAAATTCTTGCTGAAAACTGAAAATCACCCAGCGCGTTAAGGAAAAAGAATGACGAGGTGGTAAGATTTCCCACAGGCTGTTGGAGTCAACTGAGTATTGTAGTGGCCTTGACGCACGTGTGGTGCATATCCTTTGCTTGTTGCATCTCCATGTGCATTTAGGTATTGTCTATAGCAGTCTTGTTACTTTCAAACTAATCTGCATTCCCCATCGTTGGATAAATAGTCGTCAAGAATTCTGATAAAAAGAACAAAAATTGTCATTCGCTTTGCGGCGATATCTAAAAATGCTGGCCGCTCACTAAGCCGTGGTCGCTTATCTGTAGACTGTCTGAGGACCATTCAGAGTTCATCGTGGTTCATAAACCTAGGCTCATGGTCGGGGTGGTTCAACACCTCGGTATGCAGCACAAAGATGTGTGTGCCAATGCTTGAGCTATCTACACCTGAGAGGTACTATACGTGAATAATGAGAACAGTATAAAACTGTGCACAGTTTAAACCGACTGGCATATTCAGAAACGTTACTGGCAAATGAGCAGTGGCTGTGAAAGGCTTGGTGATGGAGCACTAATAGGCATAAAGTTTCTTTTAAAATTAATGTACTATGAGCAGAAATTCAGTGAAAAACGTGATCAATCATGGCTTGTATATGCGTGGTCATTTTGACCTGCTTGTATATGCGTGGTCAATTAACCCCTCCACTGGCCGAAGGATGCGAACCTTACTGGTTTTTACTAATTGCGACGCTAAGCATTGAAAGTCTCCTCAAAGTAAGGAGACCAGTTCACTAGCTAACACTGCCTGAGCGGTGGTCTTTAACCTTTTTCGACCACAGACGCGGATTTTCAGCCGCTGATATTTCAATTATATGCGCATGGCTTCGGGTTACTTCGCCCTAGGTTCTGCCCATCTACTCTGCGGGCGTTTGCGTGCTAACTTTCGATGGTATTAAATACCAAAAGTATTCGTGCGAGCTCTACAGAAAAACTGGAGTTCTACTTGTACCTATTATTACTTAATTCCTGTACCTCTACTAAAGATGCCAATATTACCCATACTGAAGTGCAACGCAGTGTTACCGAAGTGGAGCTTCTACAAAGTGTCATTATATATACAGTCTGCACAAAATTAAAAATGTCAGGGCACTCATGCAGAAAACAATAGATCGTGCTCACTCGAACTGTAACACGCGAAACTGCCACCGTTAAAAGTGTTCGAACTATCGGAAACGCCTGAATGGCCCAAAGCAACGTGCTGAAGGCCATCTGGCGTTTAGTCAAAGCGCAACAGTATAGTATATATAGTAGGGTGGAAATTAAGCACGAAGGGCAGTAATTTTACAGAACATAGGAGCTACGACAAAATGAGTGAAAAGAACCAAGAACTCTGGAAACTAAGCCAAAACATTACTCGGGCGTCTAATACACAACTCGTTGCTAATTGAATTTTTCAGTAAATGTTCGTTTTGAAAAAAAATGGAGAAAACTGGCTGTTTCTTTTTAACTCTAAATATATTGAAGGAGGTTGTTGGTAAATTTCCTCAATTCAATAGGATTCCAAATGAACATACGCTCCTTTCTATTAGAGTAAACCAAGCACCAGTTCAAAAATATTACGCTAAAATTTGTGGCGTAACAAGAATTTTTTTTTATTTTTAGCAGTTTTGTTTAAACAAAATAAAATTGATCATCTTCGCTCAAACAATACAAACTTGTAGAGCTTCACAAAAATTTATTCTTAGCTCTTTTGAAAAAGGGGCGCTAACGAGTCACCTCACATTTTTTATATAGAGAGGTTTTACCAAAGTTTGGTCTTAACAAAGCCTAAAAGAAATGGGAGTATGGGGCCTGCCTTATTACCTAAAAAGAGCTCGTGTCGCAAGAAATCTGGTGCCGGCGATGGGGGCGTTCTTGAGTGAGAAATCCTGATGGAAGAGACGAATAATTATCACAGCTCGAGCCTGAATCCCACGTATGCATTCTGCATGACAGTGTAGTACACCACCCTACAGCCACGGCAATTGCTGTGGAAGGGACCCTACACAATCATTATCTGGGGGCAACATCTGTAGTGTTGTTATGTAGGCTACCGGCTTTGATGGAAATCTAAACGAGGCCTCGGCCCACAATATAACGCTTAAGCGTTGGTCAAACCCATCGATGGACGCTATTTATCACATGCCTATGATCAGACAGGAGCGTGCCATTATTCGTAAACACTACCTTATTTCAGATGCCTGAGACGCCAACCGCATATACATATCACCAACCGGTGAATGCGACCAGTTCGAGGTTATTTAGCAGTTGGTGGTACTTGTATGTCACTAGCAGATACGTTAGCTATCACTGCCACCCATGTTGGTGGCTTTATCTTCAGCTCTGCCACAGCCTGGTACTCGGGTTTTCGCGCCAAGCCAAAACCCTCACGACAGGGGCAGGGTGATGTGGCGAAAATTGTTATCAAGCTCGCACTTTTCCTCCGATTCGTGCAACGAGTGGCTTGGCTTAGAAAGCAATATTTCTGTAAACTGGAAAAGCTGCATGAACCATATCATTAGCTCTTACAGGTGCTACAGGAAAATGAATGTACTTAGTGTTCACATGGATAACGAAAAGTTTCTTCCCGCATACAGGTTCGCCATCTTATTTTTAACCGAAGGAAATAGCATATGACCGGAAAATATTTTTTTCCTAGCAGAGACTACCATCATTGCATTCAAGGGCAGTTAGATAACCTGAAAGGTGCCTGCATGGCTTCAAGCATGCAAACATAGATTGTGGCTACATTTCCCACATGCAACGAGAATAGCGCTGCACCGAATCACACACGAGTGGTCCGCCAGGGGGCGTTTTGAAGGTGCGTAGATCTGTTCAGAAGTAACGTGCGAATACGTTCAGGCAACGTGATCCTCAAACTCGCATAGAAAACTACATAAAGATATACTAGCACTCTGCAGCGCTAAGCTGTCCAAAGCAGAGTGTAAGCCAGGCACACACCTCTCACACATGCCACTGAAAGACATTCCGCGGCCCTTGCATCTGGTTGCAGCCATATTATGTGAAGATACGTAAGCAAGAAAAAGTGCCCATATGCTGCGCATATATGTCTTCTTACAGCAGTCGGCAGAGTTGGTGACATTGTATTCACTCATTGTACGACCACAACAACGTGTGCGGTCAGCCACAGATATACTGTCGCAATATTTTCTTAGACCGCTCCTCAAATCAGGCAACTAATCGAGGTAGTTTATGAGTTTAGCTGAGTAAATAGTGCAAGAAAAATTGATAATATAGTCGTACGAGCTTGGAATAACCCTCGTGACAAGTAGTGCCATCCATGAACAGAAAATCCCACTGGCCGGCAGAAGACTCTCCTGGAACTTCGGGTACATAGCAGTAACCTTGGCAGTACCACTTGTCTATCACCTGCAGTCAACAAGTTATATTTATTTTCAAAAATAATGAATTTGTTATACAACATCATTCGATAAATGTAAAAGTTTTGAATGAAACAAACCTTCTCTAAGTAGTATGTTCCGTCGAGTTGCGGATACTTCATTTCACACTGCCTATTTAGGCTAAGGTTCTCTCCAGGCAAGTAATATTCGTTTATCCAGTTTAATGGAAACCTATTAGAATTATTTTTATGCAAGCAGCCGCCCTCATATGCCCTGCAATAGAATACATTGGTATATATTACGAACGAAATCACGGTTCAAAATACTGTGGAACTAGTTCTTATGTAATGTTCTGCCTAACCGACACCACTGTATAGCAACATGATATGCTTTCCTCCTCTTAATTACAGATACCAGAGACAATATTCACTGTTCTCACGAAGACATCAAGGCTATTCATGAAGACTGGAACAAGCTTCCGCTAAGCCTAATGCCTACTCTCTTCAGCCAGCATTTTTGGCAGGCTGTTCATTAGGTGTGCCTGTTATCGCAAAACATTGCCGGAGAGCAATAGCAACTTCTTCTTGCGGTTAAAGAGTAGTGTGACTACTGCCTGGCGACGAGTGCTTCACTTCTTGGCACAGTGCATCACGTAGCAAACTTCGTGGCATAAGTACCCGCGTGATAAGTCACATGGTTATCCGGCCATACGGATATTTTATGACAACAGCCGTTCATCGCGGAGCTGATTTGTTCGAAAGGGTGACCCAACAAGTATATTGGCACTAGGCGAACAGAGCACATCTGAGAAACAGATGCCGTGGAGGTACGTGTGGGAAACAGGTAGCGCCTACACGTGGTGCTGCAGTACACTGCTCAAGCGCGCCGCCAAAGCCACCAATGCTTTCCACTAACATGCTGCGAATGACGGTCTTGTCATTTGCTACACTCGCGTTGTAAGCAAGTGCGGGTCCAAGATACTGACAGATACAATAAAATCGGTTGGACCCAAGAAAGCTAACAGAGTAGGATATTTTAGGAGCTCAAGTGAACATCCATGCTTATGTTACGCGTAAGCATCCCGTTTTGAATACGCCAAAATATATTGTAGGTTTTCAAAATGCGATGCGTGCAGTAATTCAGCATCCACTTGCAAATTGGAAGCACATTCATATACTGTCAAGGCTTGTGGGCATGATTACAGTCTCACAGCTACGGTCTGAGTCTGCCACGTGCCGTAGATACAAAATGATGATCATGACAAACCCGCACATCTTGAATCACCGCGAAGTACTCCATAAAGTAGTTAAGAAGAAAAGCATGTTCGGCCTCTAATACGAGTGTACCGCCCAAATGTTCCCAGTTTATTGTTGCAATATGAATTACATGCATAGTCTCGACGGGTTTTTTTCCGTAGCCATTGCCGTGATCGTCACCATCATGCCACGTATAAAATCCAAATTGATGATATCTCTGATATCCTCATGCACATCCTACGTTCTCTTCACAGGTAATAGCGTGCAAGAGTAGGTGCCAAACGCGGCCGAAGCAGAGATCAAATGAGCAACCCAATCTACGTCGCTCCGAAGCGCATGTTAGACCAGTGATTGAATGCTCAAGCAGAAAGGAAACGCCCTTGCCGTTATTAGTGAGCTACAAAAGGTGCACACGGGAAGGAGGGGGTGGGAGTCTCTCGAGCAGCAATGGGAACCTTTGAGTTTAAAAGTTCGGTCACCGCTGGTCGCTTCTCGCAGTCTCAAAGCGAAGGGAATGTGGGAAGAGTCCCTGGAGCCACCGTACTCTCTTGAAATCACATTTTGTGGATTTACGTCAGATCAGATCCGAAACAGTTAGCTGTCTGCCTCCCTTCTTATCACATGACAATTTGTTGTAATCGCATTCATTTTTCACCCTTGCGCTGAAACTGCGGCTTTTTTTATGGAATTAGTGTTGAGAGTAATGCGATTTACCTAATTTATGTGGCACATACGCGCTATGGGAGTTTTACAGGAGAGCTCTTGTGTTTTAGGTGTTCATGTGTCGGAGATAAAGAGGGAAAGAAATTCATAGAAAGAAAAGACGAAAGTCTTGAAAGACAGAAGTCAGAGAGTGACTGCTTTCAAAGATAGAGAGAAAGGCACTGAAAGAAAAAAGGAGAAAACAAGAGAGAGTAAAGTGAAAGAAAAATTTCTGCGCTCTATTTTCCCTCCGTCTTGCGTGCGTTTTTCGGACTGCATGAGGGCCTGTGTAATTTTGTCACACGCTGTTCTTGTATGTGATACTGTAGCCGACATGCATCAGTACAACGACACGGCGTGGCTTCCATGCGCGGTGCTACGAAGGGGCAAATCTAGCATCAATGAAGTTAACGATGAAATATCTGCGCTCCATGTGGCATTGGTCGAAGCATCCGGGGCTTCATCATCATTCTTTATCAAACTGCGCAAATTGACTAATTGCCTGCTCCTGTTGCTTTGCGGGAGCACATGATAGATCTATGAAGAGCTTTATTGCAAGTAAATACATACTATAGACGTTAGATCACTTAGCCGACTGCCAGGTGGCTGGGTCAAAGGAGATTTTGAACCACTTTTGACGAAATCATTATTAGATGACTTGCATGGAGCACTCCTATTGGTCCGCGGTGAGCCGATCAAGAGTAATAAGCCCTAAAAATTGGTCTAAGAGTGATTGGCGTGGAGAGTGCTCTTTTGGCGGATCTCGCCGACAACAAATAGAAATTGTACCACACTCGTCGGCCTGAATGGTCAGTGTGAAAGATCTTTGAGAGCAGCAAAAACAGTCGTCCACTGCTGAGTAATATCACCATTGGCAGAATGCATCGTCTGTTATAAACCAATTATGGAACTCTGCAGCCCTAGTGATCTCGTTAGCTTTCGAAGACTAACTACTATTCGAGTATTGACCGTAACCTTCCCAAAATAATCTCAAACATTCGGGAAGATTCCTGTACATCGCAGTTCCGTCTGCGCCAAGCTGTGGTCACGGTTTTTCGTGGCTTAAACTCGAATACACAAAATAAATCAATAACACAGGTGGGAAGCAACCCCTCTGAAAAGGCATCTTCTAATGACAAAAACAAAACGAGAACGTTCTTTTCTATAACGCTATATCACATATTTTAAGTGGATGCCTCGACCGACATGAAGACTGCATTTGGTCTTTCTCGCGAAGATGTTCCAAGCACCGGCGTGGCATTGAGTTCGATTACTCGGCTGCCGTGTGGAAGGTCTGGGTTGAAATTTAGTAAGCTTCACATTTTTTTTCGCTCATTCTGTACCATACCAATTGCGGATACAAGTGACTTTCCGGCTGTGGCTGTGGACAGGTACACCACCGAAAGGAGCTGTTGCATCTCTAAGCAGCTTTAATTGTACAATACAAACAATAAAAGCGGATTGTACCAAGAAAACTTCACACAATAAGCATTTACGTGTACTTACCATGACATTCGCTGAATGTCATATCGACAGCAACGCGAGAACTGCATGCTTCTGATGTCTACTTCGTAATAACTCATGATATATCCATGCTCCCATGGACATTGCAGACTGTCCGGCGTAAACGCGGTCACAATACCAGGAGCAGCTGTGCCGTCGTGCGAGCAACCCAGCCTACGTAATGCACAGTGGGAAGCACAAAAGGTAAACAAGGTCATTTGACGTCATTAAGATTATGCGCACATTCATGAAAGAATAACTGCAAGCAAAAACTGCTTCGCACGTTCTGTATTCTCACTGTGCGAACTATGCAAAACGTTCCTCTAATATGTATTACGAGTACATAACAACAGGTAAAGCTACAAAATTAACGACATATATAGCTTCAGTGGCTTCATTATGTGCTGGTATTTATTAATACTGTATCAAAGAAACCCTTCAGATTTCCGGCATTTTTATTCACTAAAACTGCTGCTTGGACGAGTTGGTTCGTCATTATTCAACGCAGTGTAAAGTCGAAATTTCAATTGAAATAACTATGCATTACTTTGTGCTGCAAAAATGATCATTCGCCTATAACTTGAGCTTAGCTTGCGCACTAATCATTGTCAGGTGCAGTAGTATGTGAGTTTCTGTTACAGAGAAACCTATATCAATGTTCTAGCGGATTGCTTACGTAGTCACAAGATGCGTAAAATTATTGGCGAACAGTTCAACTGGGATATACTCTGGTTTTTCCATAGAATAAAATGAACGCCTGGCGCTGTGATCATAAAGGCGTGCTATTTCGCCGAAATAGCAAATTGACGTCAGTAGTATTACCCGAAAGAAACGTCCACTCGCATAACAATCGTACTCCATTTTCTTTTGGTACTTATACAAAAAACGGGGTTTCTGTTCACCCCTGATGCGGTGACGTCGCCCCCTGCATCAGCGGTGGCTGACACTGCTATCGCACTATGAAAATCAGCAATGCGCAAGTAACACTCCTGAATGTTTAGGCGTAGGCTTTCACGTCTCCTATATATAGCCACTTCTCGTTTAGTTCTTGCAGTGTTCACTAGATGGCGGTACTTCTAGCTGAGGATGAAAAAATGCAAGATGTTATAAACTAGACGGCGGTACTTGTAGTTGATGGTGAAATATGCGTGATGTTATAAAATAGGAATGATGTCTCATATGGCGCGTGTCATTGGTGGAAGGCAATCGTTCGATTTAGTGCTGCGACGTACGCTGGGGGAGCGTTGTAATAAAATCAAGTGCGCAAAATGTATGGAGGGTTCATGGTTTACCAGGTCTACCTCCAGAGCTTCGCCCACTCATCATCATTCACTTCGTGAATATGGCGGCACTTTTTTTTTCTTAGCATGTACAAGGCAGTATATTGCATCTTCAATGAAGGTTTCTTTTATCGCCATATACGCCGAGCAGCCAGATCGTTTTAAACGCCATCACGCGCTTCTTCGTGTTTGTCAGCGTTGCTAGAGGGCAGGCGCTCTCTTCCGGACTTGCTGCAGCTTTTACTTTGAGTGCAACTGTACACATTTTTTTTTCGAGCATGCTTAGAAAGCGTCAAAATTGTTGCACTACTACACCAGAACGTGCTTCAAGCCTGAATTAGAGAACACGTGCTAATGAAAAGTTTGTTTTGTCTGCTCAAGTATTCTTATTTATTTTATGTACAGCATTGTTATAACTACTGGGACGATTTCTGGGCAACGCGCACGCCTCCAAAATGGCAGCGTTATTCTTGAAAAACTCCCGCATAGGCATGAAGTCAATGGTGATGACGGAGCTTGCTTCAGATGTTAAATCCAGTAAACCACGAATCACCTGTACATACACTTCATCCTGACCATCGTATAAAACGTGACACGAGAGTTGTTGTGGTGTTATTGTATAAAAAACACGATTTTTTTAAGATCCACGCCAGACGCCCTGTTGAAAGCCCACAAGCATGATACCATCCACATTCTCGGACAGCCATTCTCCTACGCATCTGTCGTGTTGTCACCATTTTAAGATGGGCTGTACCAGTTATACCCACAGCGCGCGACCCGTCTTCGATGTAGAACACTCAATGGCGTGTCGCGAAAAGCGCTATTGTAGGCACCAAAGAAGCTGCAACGCGCGACGCCGGGAGAGGTGTCGACCATGGAATTCACACCACTTACACCACCAGCATTTAGAAAGCGCATCTCTTCTTTGCTCGCTCCTCTGACGAGCAGATGTGGGGGGCGCTGCGAGCGCTCGATGGTGACGGACGCACTCCACATCGCCTCCGTAGATTTTCTGCTATTTCTGCGGACATCCACCTTGGTACCCCTGAAACTTGGATTTATCGTCACCGCCAAGTTCTCCGCTTCGCCTAGACAACACCTTCGTCCAGGTGGGTCCAGTTTTGACAACTTGAGGGACGTCCTTCACTCCCGGCTACAACGCCGCCTCGCTAAGGGCTCTCAGCCCGGCGATGTCGGCCGCTAACGTGGTTACGGGCTATGATCCTACCTCAAGCCAAATGCTGTCCATGGAGCTTTCATCCTCCGAAAACACTATGCCATCAGAAGATGAATACCTCGACGACATGGTGAAACTGTGGCAACGCAAGCAAGCGAAATCGAAGTCTGCGTCTCAACAACAACGAGACGCCACGGCGGGCCACCATTCCCCAGCCTTGCAAGGAACGCCGGCGCGCCATCCCTCCGGCGTTGTGCCTACCTCTGCTCCGTCCTCGCAGCCAGCGAAGCAACGCAAGTGGCGTCCGCGTCAAACTCCTCGCCTCTCTCGCGACGACTACATCGTAGTGCTGAAACCTCGCGTTCCCTGCGAGCTACGCACATTTGTCCCGGCCGATCGCGCAGGTGACGCCATCCGCAGCTACCTCGGCGACCGTACTACCTCGCAAATTCAAGTGTGGCCAATCTGGAAACAGAACATCTTGGTCTGTAGCACCACCATTTTGCCTATGGCACAGCGACTCCTCGGGGATTTCCAGCTGCAAGTGGGGGATCAGCAGCTGCCCGTTCGAGGCCACGCCAAGGCACCAGGGGATACATGCAAGGGCGTCATCAATGTAAACCCTGCTGAAAGCCCGGAAAAGATAAAGTCTGAACTGTATTGGCCTCAAGGTACTATCCTTGCGGTCCGCAAACTCGGAGATTCCGCGGCGGCGGTGGTGACTTTCGAGGGCACGAAGTTACCCCGCTTCCTCTTCTACCACTGCGTGGCGACGTATATCCGCGCCTATAAGAAAACGGTCCCTGTATGCACCAAGTGCGGTACCATCGGTCATCGACCACCTCAGTGCCCTCACGCCGCTCCAACCCAGTGTGCCAAATGTGGAACCCCCGCACCTGCAGGTCTAGATGCCCACGACTGCCACCCCAAGTGCCTCCTCTGCCATGGCGCCCATGAGACTGGGACCAGTGGCTGCACGGCAAAATACCGAAAATATCGGAAACGCAAGCAGCCCTCAACATCTCCTCGAGGGACCACCTCATGTTCGTCACAGCCAGACAGCAGCACAAACCTGCATCATTCGGCTCCACCACTCCACGCCGACTCTCAAGCATTCCCACCGCTCGAAGCACCAGCGGCGGTACCTCAGGTGAGCAGGGAAAGCTGCTTCTAAGCCTCTCTCACCCCCTTCTGTCGATCCTCCTTCTCCCGAACTTGCGGCCCTTCGCCAGCAAGTTGCGGCACTTCAAAAGCAAAATTCTCTTTTAACTAAACAACTCGAACTCTTAAATAAGCGACTTCAACCCCAACAACAGTGTACTGCAAAGCCATCCGGTATTGCCTCCTCTGTCCAGGCGGCTACGCCAGCTATGTCCAAGCTTAGTCCTCGCGCTAAGTCCACTCCCATTAAACCGCCGGTTCAAGCAGCCATGTGTACTCCAGCACTCGGAACCGGTGCTACATCTACTCCAGAAGCTCTTGAGGCTCCTGGGGCACCTCAGGTTCTCTTGCCCGCTAACCAAACTCTCCCTAGCGAAGAGCACATCCCGCGCGTAGAGGAACGCCTCACGCGCGTCGAAGCTTCGATTAATCACCTCCTCACCAGCTTCTCGGTCCAATGCATAGTAGTAGAGGTTACCCAGGCTATTCAAGCCTGGGCAATCACCCAGTTTCAACCCAAGGCATCGCGTTCCCGCTCCTGCTCGGTGAGCAGTGAGGGTACAGCTCCACGGCGTCGTCGTAAGGTGGCTACCACCACCCCGTCGTCGGACAATGCGGCCTCCGTGCCCTCCCTGCCTCTGAGGATTCCGAGCGGGACATGGAGGACCAAATATAAAACCTAGGACAGTCACGATGGCTACCAATCGTACGTCCTGTTCAAACATTGCGTCTAAATTCGAGATCATACAGTGGAACCCTGGAGGCTTCGGGAACAGGCGAAAGCGTTCACATCTTTCCCTTTTCCTCAGCTCACTTGGCTCTCAGCCGGCCGTCTTGGCGCTCCAAGAATCTGGCCCTGCTCCATCCCTTTCTGGATACTGCTCCTATGTAGGCGGCACCACCACATGCCTCCTCGTGCGTAAAGCTTAAACGGCGATACAGATCGACCTCGATCTGGATCTTCCTTACGACTACTGCATGATATCAGTGCTGTCTCAGCGGAGGGGCCAACCATCAATACATATCCTAAACGTGTACTGTCCCCCTCACCTTGCGAGGGATTCGTTTGCGCATCTCTTCCATCGGGCACTGCGTATAGCAGCCCGACAACCACTGGTGATAGCAGCCCGACAACCACTGGTGTCGGGGACTTTAATGCCCCCAGCCCTCACTGGGGTTACCACTACGAGAAGGCCCGGGGCAGAGAGCTCAAGGAGCTCCTTTCCTCGCTGAGCCTGACGCTTCTTACCGATCCGGCACAACCCACACGTTCCGGCAACTCGGTCACGCGAGACACATGCCCCGACCTCTCCCTCACCCGTCACATCTGCGATGCTACATGGGAAAATTTAGGCGAAAACCTAGGCAGCGATCACTTTTTACTCCGCATTTCGTTCACACCGCGGCAGAAAATGCGCCAACACTGGGGCCAAGCCCGTCTCACCGATTGGACTCAGTTCAGAATGCAACCATTCCCCGCCGGCCTCTCCTCGACCGAATATGCAGCGTGGGCATCATACGCTCTTCATATGAAACAAGCGAACACTCGCACCCTTGCAACCTCTAATTTGACTCCTGCAATCGATCCACACCTCCTACATCTTTGGCACGCTCGCCGCGGGCTCATAAGGCGCTGGAAACGCAACAAACTTAATCGGAAACTTCGCGCTCGCATTGAGGCGCTCACTGCAGAGGCGGCTGCTTACTCCGCACAACTTTCCGATGCTAACTGGGCCGTTACCTGTTCGAAGGCTGCAAACCAGATGAGCTCTAAGAGTGCGTGGCGACTCTTTAGAAGCCTTCTCGATCCCTCCACCACCAGGGGAGAAACGCAACGCCTATTCTACCGTGTTTTGCATGCATTTCAGGGCACTACGGATGAACTCGCGCGAGAACTTTGTGACCACTACATCTGCCGCACAATTGATCCCGCAGGCCCAGCATATACGTATTCCGGCGCCCCTAACACCGACCTCGACGCCCCATACACGCTTTCTGATTTACGATTTGCACTCACGAAAATGCGACGGGGCACGGCCCCTGGACGCGACGGAATCACAGTATCGCTCCTGGCAAATCTTCCCGACCAAGCACACCTCTCGCTACTCCAGCTTATAAATTCGATATGGGACGGTTCTCCGCTTCCAACGGAATGGACCACATCGGTCGTGACATTCATTCCCAAATCGGCAAAGTCCGTTAGTATTGAGGCACTGAGACCCATCTCACTCACGTCTTGCGCAGGCAAACTCATGGAAACCATGGTTCGCGAACGCCTTTCAGCCTACTTGGAGGCCAGGAGCACCTTTGCCGACACGATGTTTGGCTTTCGCCCGCATCTGTCGGCGCAGGACGTCCTGCTCCAGCTTCAACACGATATCATAGAGCCGACTACTATGCGCCATAACGATAAAGCCGTGCTCGCTCTCGATCTCCGCGGGGCGTTCGACAACGTCAAACACAGCACTATACTCACTAACCTGTCTACCACAAACTGCGGGCAGAAGACTTTCAACTACATTCGCGCCTTTCTATCACATCGCACCGCCTTCATTCGCCTTCATTCGCCTTAATTCTACCGAACACGGCCCGTACTTATTAGGCACGCGGGGTACACCTCAAGGGGCAGTTCTGTCTCCTCTGCTTTTTAACCTGGCGATGATGAACCTCCCCTCTCTTCTAAGCGAGATCGAGGGAATACAACACGCACTATATGCGGACGATATCACAATCTGGACCAACACCGGCTCCTTAGCGCAAATCGAAGAACGCCTGCAAAAGGCTGCCCTTCTGGTGGACACCTACGCAAGTTCATGCGGCCTGGAGTGCTCTCCAGCTAAATCGGCTCTTCTTTCAGTCTCTCCGCTACCGCCGCCTCAAATTTTTCTTCCGTCCGGGCCCATCCCGTCAGTACAAAATATTCGGGTTCTTGGCCTTCACCTCACATCGTCCTTGGATCCAAAGGGCACAATAGCAGGCCTCAGACGCACCAGCGAACAGGTGAGCCGCATGATACGGCGAGTTTCTACCAAGCGCGGCGGCCTCCGCGGGTCTCAGTCCCTCCGATTGGCCCACGCGTTTGTGACCAGTCGCGTCCTCCACGCCTTGCCTTACCTTCACCTGCGTCGTCGACACGAGCACCAGCTGGACGTCTTTCTTCGTTCAGTATACAAACGCGCTCTGGACCTACCTATTGCAACTTCCAACAGCCGATTCACGGCTCTGGGGGTACACAACACCTTTGCAGAGATGCGCGAAGCTCATCGCGTTAACCAAATCAATCGACTGTCGCAGACGCCTTCAGGGCGCCGTCTTCTACACAGACTTGGCCTTAACCCGATATCTGACCAAGACCCTCTGCAGCCGGTACCAGAGCTCTGGCGTCAAAAGCTATGGGTGGAACCTCTACCCCGTAATATGAACCCTGACCTCCATCCTGGCCGTAGACTAGCACGCGCCGCGGCCCTTCATACGCGACACTCCGATCGTCCTGGTGTTTTCTACGTGGACGTCTCGGGTCCCTCCCCCTCGGGTCACTTCACGGCTGCCGTGATTACAGAGGGCAAACACGTAGATGGCCTCTCCTTTCGAGCAGACACAGTAACGCACGCTGAAGAGGTTGCCATAGCTTTGGCCGCCTCTAACCCTGCCTCACGCACCATCCTGACGGACTCGCGCTCGGCCTGTTCTCAGTACCTTCAGGGTTCCATTGCTCCGCTGGCGGCTAGCCTACTACAGGCAGCCTCTTGGCGCTTTAACCCTCATCCCATTCGTATAGTGTGGACCCCAGGCCACTCGGGCCTGCCCGGCAACGAGGCGGCAAATGCCGCTGCCCGCGCTTCTCATGTCCGGGCCGTTGCCCCTCCATGTCCCGAGACGGAATCTGGCAATACCAACCTGACGCGCTTTCGCGAACTTTTGGCTTATTACCGGACTTCGCGCCGCCTCTACCCGGACCCCGCACGCGGTTTGGAGAAAGCGGACGAACGACTGCTACGCCGCCTGCAGACGAACACCTTTATAGGTCCGGCGGTCGCCAGGCACTTTTTGCCGGAAATCAATGGCACCTGCTCGACCTGTCATGTGCTCGCCGACACATATCACGTCGTAGCATCGTGCCCAGTTAATCCCGTCCCTTTCTCATCCCCTTTTCCTATCCCAACTAGAGAGGCTTGGGAGGAGCACCTGCTCGGCTGCTCTACCTTGGCTGCACAACGCTCCTTGGTGGAGCGCGCACGGGCAGCTTCCAGCTCCACTGGCGTCCCGGAATAGGGTCTTGCCACTCTAGCACGCCGATGGGCCACGTCGGCACTCTCTAGTAAACTTTTTCTGAAATAAATGTTTTTTACCACCACCACCATCTGACGAGCAGTCATTTTGGTCAACGCCCACTGCGTTCAGCCAGTATGGAGCTTTGCCCGCTGAGCTCAGGCGAGCGAGCGTCGCCGGATATGCGGCGCACCATCTCGTAAGCGCTTTGGAAACGAAGAGCACAGCTTCATCACTACTGAGAGCATTGAGCACTAGCGTACACACCGGCGCAATGACGAGAGACACCCCACAGCAATAGGAGCAAGCTCCTAAAAGGAAGCACGCGTGTAGCATAGTTCGGCACATCTTGCATCTGAAATAAAGTGATTTCAAGTTGGTCTTCCCTCGGGTAGCTCTGCCAAAGCTCCACAATTTTTTATACCTACCAGCTTGTCCTACTTATATGTTCACATGTTATACGACATATTTATGCTTTCGGGTCAACCAATTTGTCCTATCGAGGCAACATGCATGAAGACCATTCATACAAACGTTTGTGTATGCAAAAAAAAAAAAACACATGCCGCTAACCACTAAGATCTTACCCCTTTTTGTAAGCAAAATTAGTGACAGTAAGTATCAACCCATCTATAGGTTTTCGCAAAACTGTATTGTATATAAGCTTTCACTGGGGAACAGGCTCTGAGAACAGTGTAATTTACAAATTGTAGGAATGCCCACCAGATAGACTCTAAAGAAAAAAGAAAGAACTACGTTTCCGTTATAAGGAACCTCCATTTCCGACACACTTGTTTACTATAATTCACAGTAGCACTCGTGTGACTTCGCCCTGTAGCATTCACCTCGCTGTCCTGAAATTATGTTCTCGCGATGTACACTGAATGAATAATTTCCGCTTTTTTAGGAGTCTTCGTGTTATAGGCCTCCTTTAGTTATTTCATAAATACGCGCACGAATCAAGGTCATTACCTATAAAATGCAAACATCTGCATCCCCCTTCAAAGAGTGCATAATAATCTTTCATTGACGCTCATACTATGATAAGACATACATATATTCAGCTCATCTGCGATCCCCCGCGTCATCCGCATGTTAAACAGCCATCCAGATGACATCGTGGCGGAACGCAACCGAGAAAAATTACGGCACCTTTTGATGACCCATTTCCAGGAATAAATGCTCGGTTCATTCATATCAAGTTATGCACCCACGCGTTGAATTTTCGCTAGTTCTTGCGGCATTTTCTTTTCTTCCTTATTTTTCTTCATATTATCATAATAGTTTTAATAGGTTTGAATGCTGCCAAGCCATTCAATTCTGTGCGTAAAGTTGAGCGATGTTTTCTTTTGAGTAACGAAAATTCTTTTTACAAATTGTGTTCACTTTTCATATCTTGTTTTACGTAAAAATCTCGCATAATTATTCATCTGCTTCAAATGGCCGATGTATTATTATTGTTATTTTTTCATCTATGGTGATATCTAGCGTTGTACATACATCAAAATCAATGAATTTTTATGCCATTGTTTGTATGTGTGCCATGCAAATCCATACAGCTATTCTATGATGCTCTGCTTATAGAATGCCTTGTCGGGCCTGTGAGGTATTTTGAACAAATAAATAAATTTTGGGGGGTAAGACATCTTCGTGTCTTACTGCAGTCCTTCTGAGCACATTTCCTAAATGTGTGTCAAGTTCTTAATAGGTAAAAGAATGCCAGGTGACCTAACCAGTTCGCTGTACCAGACGTGATTATGCCTCATGTTAAAATATTGCAAACTGACTTATATTACAACACTTTAACACGAAAACACGAACAACATACGCGTGTGCCAATTCGTGTGTCATGGTACGAATGCCCCTGTAGCTGTATGCCGTATCTTCTCCAAGTTGCTCCCGGTTCTTCGAGCACGCAGATCCGACAAAGGCATAACCTGCATATAGACGTTCTGTCAAAATATGCACTGATATCTCCATATATAGGAAAGAAGGCTAGAAAAAGATGGAAACTGAAGTGATGAGAAATGGTTCAAAAGGGATTGTCGTTGAAGCCCATCGTTCAACAGCAAACTTGCGTTCGTCTGAGGACAAACTTCATTCTTTTGCGGCTTTCCGCTAACATGAAAGTGTTAAAAAAGTCACATCTTTGCCGCGAAGGCGAAGCGATGAACGCGATAGCAACAAATCGGAAGACGCGCAGAAAAAAATTGGCAGATCCCACGTACAGTGGGAATCGGTGATATGTGAAGCACGAATGAGAAATGTTGATGTCACTTTGAAATCAGTACGACGTTACGAGGTGAAGTTAAATGATGCCGCACATGACTTCCGTGTCATGATTATGATGTTTGGATGTGTCGTTTACCTTCGTCATCTCTTCACGTCACGTGATACCAAATTTAGTATATGTGCAGCTAGCGAAACGGCCGCGAGCACGCTATGAGCGCGGTATGTTGTCATGATCTTACATGACACGCGTGTCAGGATTATCATGTTTGCACCAGTCATATATTTCGTCATTCGTTGACGTCACGTAACGTCAAATTTAGTATATGTAGAGCTAGCAAATTGGCCGCGAGCGCATCATTAAAGGCCCAATATACTGTAAAGTTGCGTTGACGCGCGTGCACGCTAGACACAGAGACGCTACGTTAGCAAAACGCGAGCACTCTGTTGTTTGACGCCAGGCGCGACCAGCGTCCGGCGGTGCGGCCCAACGGCAACCGGCCCCAAATGGGACATGCTGCATTTCGAACCGATGCGTTACCCAGACAACACTGCTTCTTTCTCTTTTTGTGAAAGAGGGACGCCGGACGCGCTGAAACGCGCAAGCGTCAAAGCAACGCAGCGCGGCACGCGCCTGCGAGTATATGGCAGGACCGGCGCCTGGCGTGGCAGCGCTGGCGTGACGCGACAAAATGAACGCTAGCGAGCACGCACACTGCGTCACGTTTAAATATGTTGGTGCTTTTACTGTCACATGTAGTCATGTTCTCACATGACACGCATTGCATGATTATCATGTTTGCACCAGTCACATACCTTCGTCATCTATTGGCATCACGTAATACCAAATTTGGCATATGTGAAGCTAGCTCAACGGCCGCGAGCACATCATCAGAGTGGCATGTAGTCATGTTGTTACATTACACTCATGTCGCGATTATTATGTTTGGATGTATCATTTATCCGTGTCGTCCATTCGCGTCACGTGATACGCAGTTTGGTACATTTGAAGCTAGCGAAACGGCCGCGAGCGCATCATGAGCGTGGCATGTTTTTACATGACACGCATGTCATGATTTTCATGTTAGGGTCTGTCGCTTCTGTTCGCCATGCAATCATGCCTTACCATACCAGTTTCACAACGTGCCAGGTGAACGAAACTACCGCAAGAGCTACAGGACCATGAAATATAAATCATGACATTCATGACATACGTGTCATGATTTTCGTATTATTACTAACCAAATGTGTTTTTCATACAGTCATGTTATGTCATTCCTAGTTTGCTATCGATATCATTATCAAAACGACCAGGAGAGCTAAAAGTCGTAGGCGCTTATATAGATAGATAGATAGATAGATAGATAGATAGATAGATAGATAGATAGATAGATAGATAGATAGATAGATAGATAGATAGATAGATAGATAGATAGATACGCTCAAAGTCGAAGTTCACTAAGAAATGCTTCGCATTTAATAGCAAGCAGGTTAAAACGTGCCCCGCGTTCCTCACGCGCAAAATGATGCACCTAATGTACTCACAGGTACAGATGAACTTGAATAAGCGTCCTCTGTTGTTACTTCACTGTGTCTCAACATCGCGCCCTTTTCGCAAACGAAGACTGTGCAGAAATTGCAGTGACCTTTGTGCACCCGGTAACTACAACAGAATCATTGTGGTGAAAGCTAAGGCCAGCCAAGGCGTACGATTGTGGTGGTGGTAGTGGTTCATGAGGAAAAGGAAGAAGGCACCTAATTTCTGTCTGCCTACAGGCGACACGGCGCAGTGCGTACGATTGTCCCCACCGCAACATAAGCAAGCGCACTGCATGAGCGTCCACCAGTCCCCCTCTCCACGGGGCAAAGTGCGCGTGGGAGATGAGAAAGCGCGCTACCGCGTCGAGACGATGTGGCGACATGCACTTCAATGCGCCATGTTTCTGGCAATGCTGAAAACACGATAGTTTCCGCGGGATGCCTATCACCAGCGGTAAGTTTGCCCTTTGAACGTTGAAGGAGGTTCGCCTTCGTGGCTCAGTGGCTGACGCCTCGCACTCGCCAATCAGAGCCCAACAGTTCGATTCCGCGAGCAGGTGTGTTTTTTCGTATATATTTCTATATTGCGCTTTCATATGTGCAGATACGTAATTCATATACAGTGAGGGACGCGACTGCCAGTGGCAAAATCTAGCCGAGAGTGCTAATATAATTGTTTTTGCAATAAAAAAAAAACAAGCTTCTGACACAAACGCAAAAGAAGAGGGAGATAGGAAAAGAAGCTTTTTCAAACATCGTGAGTGACGCCCGGTATTGCGTTATTGTGGTAAGGCTTCGTCGAATTGGAAATGACTTGCCTTAACCCATCAGAAGGTAAAAGCAAAAAGGAAGAAAAAAAGAGTCGAGTACTATACAAAATCAAGAGTTGGGTCGGGAAAGAATCACTAATTCATTATGAGAGAAAAAAAACAACTTATATCCACGAAGTGAACGATGGCGAATGGACAAAGCACCGAGGGTCATTCGACTAACCGTGAATCTTCCGTAGATTGCCCACTCGAGCATGGAAATGCATGCCCATACGTAAAAAAACATTATATCAAGTAGTACTTTATTGGTCATTAGGCGCATGTATGGTGTGGAGGTGTGCGCGCCATTTTCCTTTCGTTAAGACCGGTGGAACACCGAGCCAACGGTTGATCCCTTTAGTCAAAAATACTCTCTATGTTGCACTGCCTTCAGTGCAGGACAAGTGTGTTCAAAAAACTCCCAAGCATTTCCCCGAGGGTGAACATGGTTAAGTGCGAATGCACGGGGTGATGCTATGAGGGGTATTTATTAACTCGCACTATTGTATTTATTAATCACACTATGGTGCCTTTATGGTGTAATGTTTCCTGGGAATCGCAATTTGATCACACGGGGGAGTTTACGTTAACTCACTGGCGAATGCCAACGGATTTTAACTTTACTCCCCCTCATAGCATGCGAGCCCCGGACGAGAAAAGTCCAGGGCTCGCACCCTCTCCCGCGCGGCACGTTCACTGGCTCGAACGGCTTCGGGAACGTCCCCTCGCCGTTGACGATTGCGAGCTGCGTCTTGACGCCGGCCTTCATCGCCCTTCTCCGCCTGACGCTTGCGTTGTCGTTCCGCTTCTTGGGCCGCGTTCGCGGCTCGATGCTGACGCCTCATCTCGGCCTCGCGAGCGCGCAGTTCACCATCTGCTGCACGCTTCGCCCGCTTGTCCTCGGCCTCGTGAGCGCGAAGTTCGGCATCCTCTGTACGCTTCGCCCGCTTTTCCTCAGCCTCGCAAGCACGCAGTTCAGCATCCGCTACACGCTTCGCCCGCTTGCACTCGGCCACGCGAGCACGCAGTTCGGCATCCGCTGCACGCTTCGCCCGCTTACGTTCGGTCTCACGAGCCCTTTGCAGCGCCGCCTTGTCTTCCAACGTCGGCGAAACCACCGCGGTACCGTCACCTCCAACGACGGGTGCAGTGGGGGCATTCGGTTGTACTGCATTCATTGTTGATGGTAGCGTTGCCTCCGGGACATCCGTCGCAAGACCCGCTCTCGACGGGAGATTGAGAGAGAAGGCGGGCACGCGAGAGAGAGGGGTGCGCACGCAGCTACAGCGAGCCAGGAGAGCTGAGGAGCGAGCGAAGGGGGATATCAGCGTCGCGTCCGTGGCTTATTCGGTAGAGCGTCGCGCTGCGGCCCGCCAAGTCTTCTTTCTTTTAAAGATAGAGAGAAGACTGCGGACGCCGCCGACGGCGGTGGATGGTTTGGGGTCGCTTATAAAGTGTATTCACACTTAAAACGCGCTGTCCAGCGCTGAGCATAAACCCGTTTCAAACGAGCTGCCCCGAGGCGGGGATCGTCGCCATACTGCCGTGCAGGATAGTGCTCCGGGAATGGGGGGAGGGGTGAACGCTATATACAGGCACAGCCCTCTTGCGGTCTCTATCAAACTAAGGCATGCGCAAGGGTCTATGGAGCAAACTGCGAGGGGAGGGAGAGCAAGTGCAGATACCGCTGCACCTCTGGTCAGCGTTCTCAGTGCAACGTGTAATAATGTACACGGGGGGAACAGTGTTCGTTTATAAGCTGCTTCGCATCTATAAATGTACCTTGGAAAAGGGAAATCATAGGCATTAGAGTGACGAGCAAGAGAGGAGCACATGCATTCCAAGGAGAAATGCGTTTCAATGAAAACTGAGTGGAAAAAAGAAACAAAGAGACATGCTGGGTCTGTAGTGAGAAGAGTAGATAAACGCTAATGAAGGCAAAAAGAAATGATAAATACGAAGAACACCAGAATTCAAATGACGCCGCTGTTACGTGATATGTTTCGGCGCCAACAAAACGTTTTTTTTTTTCGAAAATGGCTTTCCTGGACCTCGAACAATTGCTTCACTAACACTAATTTCAAAGCTACTGAGTCGAAGTAACGGCTTGATAGACTCCTTTCATTGTTGTCATTCAGCCTCCCATGCTTTTTTTCTAGTTTTTCACAGTCTGGCATCCGAATTAGTTGCGCTGACATGCCTTCCCTTCTAGGTCATGTTCTTGGTGACAATGATAGTCTTTTCACCCTGCTTATATTGCTCGCACGCAAATCATCGCACGCAGCTGACTGTGCTAAGCACCAAACAACGTATGGAATTTTATAGCATAAATACTCCGCGTGTTTTGCGATCACAAAGCATGACGTGATTTTATGCGACGTATATTAGGGCTCCGACAATATCGACCACCTGATCTTGCTTGACGTACGTGTCCTCAGATTACGTAAATGGACCTTCAGCAGTTCGCCTTCACAGAAATGTAGCCGCCATGGCCGAGATTTGATACCGCGACCATATGGTGAGCAGTCGAGTATGATATACATTATAGCAATGTGGCGGATTCACTCCCGGAACCTGCGGGATCCCGAACGACCTCTGTCAGGGCAAAAGCTGCGACGTCCTGATATTTCTTCCGGGCGCTAGCGATGAAACGCGTACTAATGCCCTCATCATAGATAAATAATGCCACGAGTTCTGTAGAGGTGATCGCTATTTAAATCGACAAAAACGTTTCGATGTTATCCCTCCTGTCAGGCCTACCTTCAAGACTTCAACGCAGTGAAGCTGATGAAGTGAATTCTCACGTGTTTTTTCACGCTTGATGCTTGTGGTACTGCTAATGCCAAATTGCGCCATTCTTATTACTTCCTCACGATAACTAGGTATAACACATAACAGTACTCGTGAAAGGTCGCTCTCTCCTGATATTAAACTGTATCAGCAATGAACTCTGCGAAAACTAACGACTCTATCAGGCATTAAGGCGACACTACAAGCTTACACTGTAATCACCTCACAGGACGCGTCAAAGTCTAAGCTTACAAATGCCTTTACAATTCCGCGAAATTTCTCGGTCAGTCTGGGTGGACCGTAAGAATGTCTTTAACTCCCACAATATAGTGTTCTGCAATGTACTGTCATTGGAGCGATCCACCTGAACTCGTTCTTCTCTCTTCCTCTTGGCAATTAGAAACGATACGCGTTTTCTTATGTCCGCTGAAGGCAGTACTATGATGTGATTTCACCCGAGAATGTGAAGTTCCAACTGCGTTAGATGAGTGCAGCGACTGCTATAGCTCCACATGATTGGACAAATCGAAGGGTAAAGAAGTTTATATTGCCATAACAAATTAGATGTGCCATGTACGAGATCAAATACTGTGCTATTGTTCAAGTTCGAACAAATACCGAAGCACAGAGACATGCACTTGTTGAGTCTCAGGATCCCGTCAAAACGGCCCTTCGTTTTGAAGTGTGCTTAGCGCGGGGCGTCACAATACTTAAGCGACTAAACTATGATGACGCATTAAAGTAAATTGGGCGTTGCCTGCAACATAAGTACACGCCAGGTTTTAACTGTGCAGTTCGGCCACGCTTGGGTATTCCGTCGAACAACATTCTGAAGGAAGGCCAAAGTGGTGTGTCTTGAATATACCAATAATAAAGCTATCGATGCCATCCCGAGGCTACCACACAGGTTCTGATTTGAGAAGGGACTGAATGTACTTGATCGATGAACGAAGTTCCTCTTTAGTATAAAAACTATCAGTATTTTCTAATGCTACTGTGTTACTTCGAGCGACGCGATATGAGCTTTTTATTCTCACTCTTGGGGCCAGTACACATCAATTGCATTGAATCCAGCTAACGGATTCTACACTAATCGGTCATTTCTCTTGTTTGTTGTTACGTGAAGCAACGGTGCTGGAATTCTATCTCGGGTCGGCTGATAATACACAACGCACCTTTCTTGGATAGGTCCGCACGAGTATCAATAATGACACGACGCCCTGTTATGGCCGAAATTACCAGCAGCAAGACAATGAAGCATGCACGTAGCCAGCTTTGAGCAACCGGAATGTTTGCTGAACTCGCCGATGTACAGTAGGGGAATTCTTTGGTGGGCTAGTTCGTTCGCTCACATTGTGGCAGAACAGTACAGACAACGGGATGAAAAATTAGAGGTAGCCAGGCAGCGCTGTCTCCTGCGTATTTTTTGTTCCGTTAAAGGGACACTAAATGCAACTATAAAGTCGTCGTTGATTGTTGAATTCATGGTCTAGATACCTCGTATAGTGTTACTTTTGTGCCAAAGAAGGACCTATTTCGAAATAAAATCACGTTTTTTAGTGGTCCGCATCTAGTTAGCGCACTTCAATTTACCCGCCTCAAGAAGCGGAATGACGGGACCAACTCACGTCACTGTGGCCGTGCACAAAGTAACCCGGCTTTACTGCGCTAGTAGCAGCCCACCGAAAGCAGTGGGAGCCACAGCAGCAACAACGGCCATTGATCAATTTACTACAATTAACTGAATTGCAGACGTTTTTTTTTTGTTCTACAGAGCCCTGCTAGATGGCACCACCTGTCCAGTGTAACAACGCGAAAATTCAATTTTTGACTTGCCTCCCGCCTTTCCCTATAGTAACGTTCCGGTGGTTCTTTTTTTTTCATAAATAAAACAGAAATGAACAAGCCGCATTTTGTAGCGTCTATTGATGCACGGAAGTTTCTTTATTTACTGTAGCTAGATCGATTACTAGAGATCAATTGTAGGCGGTTCGTCTAATGTCATCGGGAGCATTTTGAGAATGTCCAACTTGCGGCGCATGTGTTCCTGTGCCTTTACCTTAATTTCTCGGTAAGTAGGGCACTGTTGTTCATAATGTTGTCGTTTTAGATGTTGTCATACATTGAGCTTTCACTCTGACGTAAATAGTTATTTGACTTTAGTGTCCCTTTAAAGACGCCCTCATCCACTGGAGTCATGGCCGATGCAACTTCAACCCCAGCAGAGACGACCAGGTCAGCCAAACCTTCTTTGAAAGTTTCTGTATGAAAACGTTGGTAGAGTTTCTCATTCGTTGCAGTAGCTGTTTACGCACAATAAAGCCATCATACTCGCTACCAAGCTGGACTGGTTGAGTGCTCCAACTACTGGTGCTATTATCGCACTAATGGAATTCTGAACCAGAGGAGTGTTCCTGTGTACCGTTGTACAGTTTTATGTATAGTTGTATCACCTGTCAGAAAATAGTAAATAAACTATTCAGGAGGACGCACACTAAATGTAAGACGTACTTCACTTCTGCTTGGCTTCGAACAAACCGAACGTGCTTTTCTATAAAGAAATAGCACTTATTGAGCTCGAGTAGAGTTTAAAACCTTTCAAACCCTGCTGTCTCAAGCAAAAAAATATACTCACCTTGAAGACTATTTTGCCTTGATCCGTCATCATATACGGCAACCATGTCATACCTAAAAGAGCAATGTCCATATTCAGAAATTCACGAGGACTCAAGACGCGCATATCCCGGTTTCGGCAATGAAAAACCCAGCAAGTTATGGACTTTGTTTGAACTCAAAACAGAGAATACAGCTAGGCTGTCCTACTGCATTCTGCAGACATGCTGCTTCTAGTAGAAATGTGACAAAACACTGTCAAAAACAAGCCATGCAAATACCTTTGTACAGTTAGGTGTGAAAACTATGAAGCACAAAATGCAACTCACGCCTTACTCATATATGCTAATGGCGTTCATATTATCAAAGAAATTGGCATTATTAGATGTTTTCACAAAAGAATAAAAGTAAGTGTGCACTTGACACTATTCTACAAGCATAAATGTATCTTGCTCTTGCAGCCCCCTTTAAAACTTGCGCTCCAACACTCATGTGGATATTTTGATTTGTCCAACCCTAGCTAAGGTTTAGGTGCTTGGTGTATATTTCATGCTTTTTTATTTTACGGCAATCACTTGGGTGTCATGAGAGCAACAGCCATCTATGCCAAGAGGACAATCGAGCCCATAGACGAAGATGCTCACTTACATGAGGTAATGGCAGCAAAAATGGTCTAGAGATGCTCTGCATCCCCACAAACAACCAGGCCATCAATAAGGCGTGAGTCAGTTTCAAAGAAGTCCTGTTTTCAAGGCCTTATCCCTATAATTTAACAACGCTTAGGAATAAGGAAGCCTCTCAACGGTTGCAAAGCTGTAGATGTGCGCTTTATTCTAGAACTATGCAAGGCCATTGAGAATCAACGCCTTCATTTCTCGCACTTAGTTCGTCCGGCACATATTAGAGCGCATTCTGCTCAACTCGCTAGCACCATTCCTTGAGAACTTGGGAAAAGTCCTGCCGAAATGGTACAGTTCAATCTACCACACCCGACGTATGTTATCATTACTTCATTTCAAGAGAAGCTTGATTGCCCTAGCTACTTGACCCTGCCCCACTGCTATCCTAACTTAAAACCTGAAAGAGACGGTCGATAACGTACCACATGTAGTAGTATTAGAGTGGCCAACCTCCTTGGGTCGTACAGTGATCCTGCATAGAAGGCTGCCTCGCCGATAGGAAGACAATACTAAATACAAAGTCTCAGGGCCCAGTACATAATAGAGTGAGATGTTTTCCCTTCTGCCTTCATTGCTGCTCCAATGAGCAGTCCGCTTCTTCTCAATAGCACAACCGCCATACAGCATGGCCTGTTCGACAACGGCATCGTAATCTGGGCAGTCATCTAATCTTGTCCAATCGCGGAAATAAAGAGCAATTTTATGAACTGGCACACGTGCTGAGTCACTACGCTACGCCGTGCCGCTTGCGCTGCACCCAGAGAAGTTGGTGAGTGTCGATTTTGGTATTTGTGCCAAACAAACGCCTGTACGAGACAAACGCTGTAAAATTTAGGCTGGAGACGCACACAATTGTACCATGTAAGAAGGTAAAGGTACTGGTAACGGACAGAACAATTTACTGGAAAATCTGAATACTGAAAGAGTCCAATGTAAACATGCAATTTAAATAAAAAAATTCACAGCATATTCAAGAAGTGAATAATGATGAGTAGAGCAAAACATCCGTCCGTCCATCCGTTTGTCTGTTTATCCCTCCATCTGAACATTCGTTCCTCCCTCCATCCGTACCTCCGTCTGTGTGTCCGTCCGTCTGTCCGTACATCTGTACTACCATCCGTGTTTTAGTCTGTGCGCGCGCCTGCCTGCCTGCCTGCCTGCCTGCCTGTCTGTCTGTCTGTCTGTCTGTCTGTCTGTCTGTCTGTCTGTCTGTCTGTCTGTCTGTCTGTCTGTCTGTCTGTCTGTCTGTCTGTCTGTCTGTCTGTCTGGCGAAGAGCACGAGCCGCCGTGTCCCTCCGCTCCACTGTGTCCATTCACCATCAATGATCCGACATGCACGGCAACGATTCAGCAGACAAAGAGGCACTCGTTCGCCACGCACCCAGGTGGCGCCAAGCACGAGTCACCGCGGCTCTGCACGCCCGCCGCTCCACTTCGTCAATACACCATCAACGCTCGTACACGTACGCCGATGATCCCGGACACTGAAAAAGGCACTTGTTGCCTGCGCACCCAGACCCAGCCCGCGCAGCATGGGCCAATCGGAGAGTAGTGGTGCGGTGCCATTTAGAATATCCTCCCTCAACTTCAGTTTGTATGTACTGGTGTGAAACAGCGCCATCTATTATACCGTTCGGTAGATACGGCTGGTTACGCCTAACGTTGGACAAGGTTAAAATATGAGGAGCTTCGCTCTTAAAACAACCAAGACTAAAGGCATGGGAGAGGCTCGTAGGCTTCGCATCATTCAAGCATAATTCGTGTCTCGAGTAAATACCGGCCTCTCATACGCGCTACTCAACATGAGCGAATTCAAAAAACAAGGGCGGTTCTTCGTTAGGCATGCAAATAGGTATTAGATCTCCCGTACGAACTTTACCACAGCGGTTACTCCCGCTAGAAGCACACGATTTGTCAGATGAGTTTCTCATTTATCCAGCCTAGTGAACAATATGTGTGGTCTTGGAAGCGCCAATTTCTACCTTCTTACGCTTTAGGCTCTCCGCAACACACAGCTACCCACCAATTAAAACTCTAGTACCCATTCCACACGGGCAGAGAAAATGACTTTTACTTTCTAATGCCTTCCGATTGAATGTAATTCACGCGGTGCCACACGGATGAACGAAATGGCATTCGCCCAAATGCTATTCGTCACCTAATGCTATCGGCAGAACTCATTCAACTGAGAAATGCGTACTCTCGACGGCACAGCTGATGTAGTAATTTTATAAAATGACATTCGATTCGACTGGAAGGAAAATTCTCGCGTCTTTTATTACCAATATTCACTTAAAGTGCTTAAAAACTATTCTTTCACTGGTAGACGCTGTAAAAAATGCGACAGGCGCCATTTTCTTTTTACGCTGCGGATCTCACTAGCTCTGGCTTAAGTTGCAACACGGTCGGTTGCAACGTCGTGAAACAAAGTAATGAAACAAATCTAACGGCAGTGTAATATGATTATTTCTACATTTAATTCTTCTCAGAAATATATGTAGCTTGACAGCGCACGTTATTTTTCTCTTACTTTTCCACAATTGCTTACAACAGAAGATGGTAGGATCGACATCATCCGAGTCAAATGTCCATTCATTTTGAGAGTGTAGCAACTCCGCCCCTAAAAATTGTCATTCAGGAACTGAATGCATTCACTACCAAAAGTCATTTACCATCCTCGTGTGGCACGGGTATAAGTTCATTCGTTGTAAGCATGAGCAACACATCTTCCCTTCCTTTTACTCTAACATATTGGCACAGCGCGAGAAAACGAAGAGTTACTGCGTAACAGAATGAAGAAACATGGACGGCAAAAAGAGCAGACTTGGAGTAAATTCTATTAACGAAAACACTAGAAATATATACACATAATTAGGCATGAATCCAGAGTACAAGCGCTCAACGTATTGCACTAAGACCAGATGATCTATATCTTATTAAAGGAGTATCTGGCTGTAACACAATAGGTTGCACGGTTATATACTGTGGATGCTTGATATGCGTACAAAATAAATTTCTGTTTTTTGTGTATATTGTTATCATGTATATAATTTTCACTAATTAGGTTAATTTTTATTCAGCACTCTTTCCTGTCCATGTTTTTTCCCGTAGTTACGCTGCAAATACTCGTTTTCATACGCTGAACTAATATGCTGTTTCCAAACCACTAACTATTCAAAGAATTCATCTTATCTGCTACTCCACAATAAGGACTTAGAGCATACCAAGAGAACGGTGACCGAAGCTCATGCCAGTCCCAAGCTATGGGGGTGTCAATCCTGCGCTACGCACAAAGATCCAAAGTCTTACCCTGAAGGAACTGCCTAGGCTGTCACTACAATCATCATAGCAATCCTTTTATTAGCATATAAATTCCACGAAACAATCTTCTAGAAGCCGAAGGACTGGCCATGGCTTTCGCTCTATCTAAACCGGAGATGAAACACAAACATGCTTCTCCTCACTTTGCTACTGGAGGAATTTGTACTAACACACTAAGCATGAACACTCAAAAACTTGCATTGAGATTAGTCATGCTCATCGCGGTGAAATCTCGCGAGACCATTGTTGTTGCCGAGATTTTAAACCTCGAAGCTCTAAATTTACCTTCTGTGAGGACGCAGAGGAAGTTGAGTCGTAATCTCTAGACAATGGCATTACAGTTTTTTTAACCTCAACTGAGAAGGTGCCCTGTTGCATACAAGCTACTGCCCCGATGCAATCGCTCTGTACATTTTCCGCACATGGGTCAAATCCAAACAAAAACTGAATTGTCCGCGCGTCACCGATTTTGAGTGAGGGTGTCAAACCCAGGCGACGTTGGTTTGTCACCGCGCTATGGTACATATGTTGCATACAATGTCATATTCATGGTTGTAATTGCCAGTCTCGACCACTTGTTGATGCATTGTCGCCTCCATCAAAAATGCAGCCGCCGCGGCCGGGATCTGATCCCGCGACCACTGGGTTAGCAGCCAAGTGGCTTAGTCACTAGCTTCTGTGATGGGTAGCCACTAGACAACAGTTAACATATTGAATATGTTAATGCATTTTCTTCTTGACGTAAAACGTTTATAGACGTTTCACACCGCCTCCAGTAAGTAGTAAAATAATGGGCTGCCACAGTGAGAGCGGAGGCCTCGAAGCTCGTTTTATCCTAGATAGCTTTCTTCCAACTTCGTTTTTGCAGCTTATTTCAAGAAATGAGAGGCTTACAGACCTTGGTGATGGTGGTGGACAGGTATTGTTTCAAAAAGACTCGTTATTGTGATCTCATGACGGGCTTCGCTGTGACACGTAACAACGATTGTGTTGCCAACACTCTGTTGCATTTCATCTCATATTTAGTACATATTCTCGCAGATTTTTTATTGGAGGTAAAAGAGACCCACTTGGCAGTTAGGCCCTCCTAAAAAAAATCTCCATAAATATGCCCGCTTCAAAAAAATCGTTATGTGATCATAGAGGCAGTATGAAAAAAAAAAGAACGTGAAATAGGTTTTTCAGCCTACGTGCAAGATTTTTATGCCAACAACTACTACTGCTTTTTTGCGCAACTTTTTCGCGTGGCATATCTTGTGGCTTCAAAGTTCTTGCTCATTACTGCTTTTTTCTATTTCCTTTCACACAATGGTAGGCAGCTGAAAATTGGCATGTGTCATATAATTGTTTCAACTTGCACATCAGCGAGGAACTTTGTAATATGACGTTTTCTATGATTTGCTGCCCATTACTGATAGTAACAAAGCACAGCCTCTGAGATCTTGTTGTACAGTCCTGTTTTGAGGCACTCAAGTTGTGGGGAAAAATTTTTAGATGCTTCTCAAAAGTAATAGATGTTAGCAACTGTACCTGGCCATTCTTCATTACAATAAAATCATGTATGCATAAAGAAATTATGTGACGTCTGGCCAGTACAGATAAACGTTTAGATTTTCGAATCTGTCGCTCCCCAACCAAAAATCAGTGGTTTGTAATTTAAGCTAGAAAGCATAGTAAGGTCATATGCACGCTAACAAACAAACGTGTTAGCGATCAGATGCACAAACTGAAGTGTTCAGTCATGGCTGAACACAGGAAGAAACTTATCTTCTTTATGCTGCGAATTTCGCTAAAATTGTCCGCAGATAGTGAGATTTTATTTTCCAATCATATCGTTAGCCTAACTTTAGTAGTGTGCCACAATGGGGAAAACAGACTGAATTTTCAATAGCACAGTAACACCTGATATGAAGATGTTTGCGTATGTTTTTTTTCTTTGTATTTGCTAAGAATATAAGCTGCACAACTTATTTTTCGAACGACTTTTTCATAATTAGTGCACTAAATTATTCAGAATGCTGTTTATTTCAAGGCACTGAAAATGAACACTTATACTTGAGAAAAACTTGCATACTTTCCTCCTCGGTTCGCGTTTCTAAGGCATAGTAACATATTTACTCACCTTGTTACAAAGTATACCATATCAAATGTTTGATATGTGTCATTTCGTTCCGTGACAAATGTCACAAGTTTTAGGAGGGACTTGTACCCATCGATGCTTGCTGAGTTAAGGTACACATAGTACTTTTTCTCCTGTTGTAGCTATAAAAGAGAAATCAGTTGCCATGCAAGTAATTTTTTTTACGTAGTCATGCTTCACTATGATAGTTTCGCAGAAAGCTCTATTCTATAGTGGGCCCGTTGTCGATAGTATTCATTTGAATATAATATGTAAATTCCAATGAACCACGTGAACTGATCATCGCTACGCCATCATAGGAGAACAGCCGTGTCGAGAAGTTTATGTTAGCCTCTTAGCTGAAACGTACGTAAACCCTGTTGCCTTAGAGTAACAGTCTCTCAGCCTGCGAACAGCTGGATCTACATGAAAGGACACGCAGGTCGGTACAACGAAAGTATTTCTACCTTTAGTCCTCAGCCTCTGGGCCCGACTGCCAATGACCAAATCAGTGGTACTGTCTACAGTCCCCGAGCAGGACCATGCCGCAGGCCGATCAGCTCTTTTCTTAACTTGACACTCCTCTGTAGGCAGTGACCTAAACTGTACCGCTTCCTTAGATTGAAGTGGACACAGAGGTTTTGTTTATTCTTGGCTTTCACGGTGGAGTGTATTGACTCATGGTGTTGCGACGATAGTGGGAGCCTGAACCATCTATTCATGCAGAAATTATGGTCAATTAGGTGAAAATATTCACCGCCACCTCAACGATGCTGGATAGCATTTCTGGCAGCCATGATGTTGTGCTGCGGTGCACGGGTAGGCATACAGCTTTTTTGGGTGCGTTATAACTCGGGAACCTCAACGAAAGGGTACACAATACTATAGTTTTTCGACGTGTAAGTTTCTTGGGGCTCAGCTGGGTGCTTGTCTCTTTAAGCCATTGCCTTATCCCTGGCGAACAGCCTTTGGGGCGTTTTCTATGGTCTGTCAATGTTAGTAAGTCCTGACAGTGCAGACAATCGGTTAAAAGACCAGACCAATAAACCCAACTGAGCGGAGAACCATCCGTGTTGTCCCAGTGCGGTGGTCACCCGGTGGTGGACGGTGGTGACAGCGGTAGTCGTATTGATTACCTCAAGTGACCTCTCACAATCGGCGACAATGCTTCTGATAGCGTATGAAACATTCCTGCAGGCGTCTTCCACTAAGTAACTTCAAATGTAAAGCTTTTACAACTTGCAGACTTTCCACAAGAAAATTCTGCATTCTCAGATATTCGCAAGTGGCAGTCAGTCGCTATTATAACCAACTTATTCGCAGAAGAAGGAACCGCAAATGGCCCAAAAAAGCTCGAGCCCAACGCAGTACAATGATTCGGCAGTCATCTCAATCATGTGAAAGAGGAAACTGGAAGCGTTGTTAGGTCATTCTTAAAGTTCACAGAATCTGATTTCTGAACACACTAAAAAAGAATAATCGCGCTTATTAGTGTTTAAACCCACTGAGGTGTATTGATCCAGCTAGGGTACCTGATGTGGCCTGTTCAGTGCTTTTAGCTGAGATAAGATTGAATAAGTATTAAATGAACTGTTACACTTAAAGGTCTGGGCATCACCTCCTACATATAAAAGAAGGCTTGAGCATTTCCTCCACTCCCGACCAAATTATTCTTCTCAGTGAAATCGGATGACGTGGAAAGAGATGGCATGAGTTCACAAAATATTTGAATATTTTGCGTTGAATGTGGGCCGCCAATGAATAGTTTGGCACCTGTGTTCAAACCTGATTTTGTTATTAAAAACTCTACAGGAAGATTGGTTCAAGACGATATGAAGGTTCAAGATGTCTGAATACTGCTTCGCGCCCTACTGACCATTTATATGCCCCAGAGAAGCTACAAGCTGTATTTCATGGTTTCGCTCAGATCCGTCCAAAAGGGGCGCATGATCAGAAGCCATCGGAGGGGAGACCTCTGTGCCAACAAAGCACACTTGTAAGCACTTTGCTCTGCGTAGATACGTCACGCGAGTATTTTGGCCATTCATTTGATCTTTAATATATTGGCCGTTTGGTTAGACATTGGCAGCATTTTATAGACATTGGCAGCATTTTTTAGACATGGCATGTTCAACTCGTAGGAGGAAAGGTTTTCTGAAAACATTTTTTCCTCTTAATGCTTATTACGTTGCCTTGTATACAAATATTTATCTGTGGCATCTACGAACCCTGGTTCTGCCGCTGTGGAGGCGTTTTCCACTCTTTCATTATCCAGCATACAGCATACGCCTTTTGGCTCCATATATCTTCACCATAACGGTGGATAGTAGAATAAGCTATTCTATAGTTGGAAGATTTCCAAAACGAGTATATCACATTCAGCTGCAAGCCTTTTGCGAAAAAAAAATTTGCTTCAATAAATTTATTTTAAATTGCATGAACTGAGAAATAGCGCTGTACCTACGGCGTTACTTTCTTTAGATGCCGAAAGCACTTCTTCAACGTGGCGAAAAGATAATGTTGATTGTTAAGTAGTTGAGGCTCCTCGGTAAGTGTGAGCTGAAAATTGCAGTGCGGCACGTAAAATGAAACTTTCAATTAATTTCAAAGTTATATGATTTCTATCCCTTCAAATGGCACGTGATGAAATGCATCCAAAATCCATTGCACCGCACACCAAAACCCCTTGAACACAGCTGATAGCTGATATAGGCATTGTATGCTGCATAGTTGATGTAGTGGCCATGGTGTGCTTTGACGTGCTCATCCCACACACTACACCAGCGCACTCGTGGTCACACTGAAAGTGAGTTCTGTGTTCAAAGAAAAGTAAAAAAGAACACTCTCAAAGCCATAACGCACGCTATTGTGTGAACGTAGCTTGCTCCCTTGTGATCCCTTCGTCTGTGTTGCTTCCAGCGTGCTCACTGGGACGGAAGGAGAGAAAGACTGCTTAGAGCGTGCCACCAGTTCTTGTAACTACGCTCCTTACTGAAAAATTCAGGCCTTTTTTTTTCGAGTGCCAGCCGAGTTGAGACGAAAAGAGTGATGTGAGGTTGAGGTGTCATTGAATGATTACTTTGAAAGCTCTTTAAGGGCCAGTTTTATAACGGAGACCGGTGTTTTTAACTGCCGACGACAGGACTAGAGGCAGTTTCTTATGTATATATATAAACTTACCGTGCTAAGTTCGATTCCTCGCAGTACAGGGTAAACTTTTGGGTTTCTAAGGGCACTGTATCGTATAGAAACCTGATCAGGGTGAAACAAGACATTGCAGTTACAACACTTATTAAAAGAAAATTGCTCCTCAGTATCACTCACAGACCCACTCACCACTTGAAAGGTTATAATCATGTAAACGGTTACGTTCATTGACTTTACAAATTCTGCCTGGAACCAGGAATCGCATACGACGAATACTTCCGGAAACATTTCATAGACGTTGTACTTTGCTGAAAAACAATTGTGGGCATTGAGCATGAACATTCTAAAAAAGACTACTGGTATACTTACTTTGATCAAAACCACTTGTACTTCTTGCAGCACGCTCGGAAATGCCAATACTATCCTCCACAACCTTACCTGTAATAAAATAAAAAGAATGTTTCCGTCATCCATTGCTTTTCTGGGAACTTGAAAAATGTATGCACGCTACTATCGCAGGCCTATTTGTTGTCAGTCCCCATTCATTTCACTAAACCAGCGCAATGGCGAAAAACCTAAACAACACGACCTACGCATCAGTCACGCATTTGTTCTCCTACCCTACAGTCCAGCGTGACAGAGCTTCCCATGCCTGCAGGAGCATCAACTCCGACTTGGCTTCAACCTGGGTCCTGTTTACATGCCGGGTAGTGCCATGTTTTCGGGAGAGGTCGTGTACTGTAGTTGTGTTCTTTATTAATGGTCACCGCACAGACTGACCCATAATATTTGACAGCCATGAGAGCTAACAAGCGTTTCGAGACACCTAGGGATACAAATGTGACTGGTTGCGTGTGTAGTCGCGCTATTCGTACTGAAAAGCCACGAGTGCCAGTCTATGTCACTCTCACTAGCCTACGTCATGTACGTACCAAGCGAACCTAGTCATTTTGGTAAAGGCGAAGCCTCGTCGAAAGTGGACCTAAGGCTGTGGTGCCCTGAAACGATTACGTGAACGACTAAAGTGTGGACCGCATGAGGAGCAGAACCTATTCATTCGATGACAAATACTTGAAAGACACAGGGTGACGATGGCAATGGTGACGATTATTGCGATCATACCCTTTGCTACGGAAATCCTTCAATGAACAAAGCGTTCCAACTCGATGGAAAAAGGGCAAGATTTACATGAAGTCTATCTGGTAAAGAGTTGAAGCTCATATGAGGAAGTTGAGCAGGAAGGAGAAGAGGAGGATAACATTTTTTTTAAGTATTGCAGTGATCGAATTCTGAAGGAATTGAAATGCAGCTGTTTGTGTGCCCTTCACCGACTGTCATCATTCACGAGCGGGCACTCGAAGCTTTCTTTCGTCCTGTCACAATAAGCTTTGCCCTCACTTTTTCCTACCTTCTTTCTATACTGTACCATGGCCTCTGACGAGGGTGAACGCACGGCATGCTTCTCTCCGGCCGTCCCAATCGCACTGTAGAGTGCGTGTTTCCAGAGGTGGCTTGGCTCGTTCAATTTTTCGCGCCACAACGCCCCCACAGGGGACCGAAAAGGCTGCCGCTTTCTTGACGCAGCTTGCAGGTAGGCGAGACAAAAAAAATAGTTTTCCGCTTCCATACAACTACGCCTATTGGGAAATGTCAGGTACTAGGTGTACAGAGGCAAAATCAATGCTGGGGCGTATACATTCTCAAATGGGCTTTTTCGTTTGCTGTGGATTTGCGCTGCCCGTATTAGAGCACTTATAATAACGATGCCTCTAAAAGAAATCCACATGTGCTAGAAATTTACTGTGCTTTGAAGTTTGCGGGCTGTATAGTGTGGGGGGCGCTGGCCAAGAAGAAAAAGTGGCAGCATGATCTGCAATCGAAGTAAGAAAAGTACCGAGTTTGACGCTCATGAGTTACACTCAATAAATGCCTTTTTCTTTCTTTTCGTGGAACTAGCACTGCTGTTCAGTGCAACGCCATTTCAAGAATTCATGAAACCGCACTGATGTAATCACAGCTGGCATAAAAGCTGCTCTCCCATACCACACAACGCTTCCCACTCGCCCATGAGGCTTTCCCAGTTCACCCTTTACTGCTAACTCACGTCGTGCCACAGAATAAGAGACAGAAAGCAGGGCTGCCACTTATTTTAATTCATTCATTCGTTCGTTGTTTATTTTCATTGTAAAAATTTCTTATACACTGGGAGGGCCCAAGTAAAAAGTTGCTCTGAACAGCTTGAGGAGTTCTTGGCCCCCGTTCTTTATGGTGGCAGCAGTTGCGGGAGGTCACAAGAGACGCGATTAGGTTGAGTATGACGTCAACAACATTCAGGATGACATAACTATTGAATAACACTTAGGCAAACTAAAATACGCAAAAGCAATTATTTTCGGGTGAAATTCGCAAAACTACGAGCGAAAAAGTGCCTAAAATTGACGTTTTGTGTTTAATTTCACCAAAAAAGTCGCCACTCTACATATATGTGGTGTGCCTAGTAATAAAAATTGCTAATTATGTGTAGCGCCATCAAGTAAGGTACCATTAAATACTCCCTAAATTATATTGACGCTTTTCGAATGCCACGCGTATCTCGGCTAACACATGGGAGCAACGAAAACGGGCATGCCTTGCCATCAGTATCCCTGAATGCTAGTGCCTGATAACAAAGGTTTGTGAGGGTTTCATTTGTTGCGAATACTGGACGTTGCAGTCAGTACAAAAGAAGGACAGTGTACATAGAAATATTATGGTAGAATTATATTTGCAATAGTTGAGCAACCTGATTACAGAAAGTGGAAATAAATTATAAAGTACTGCGTATCTATTGCAATGCCCATACTAAGCTTTTGACTCAGTTTGACTCATACTAAGCTTTTGACTAAGCTTTTGACTCATACAATTTTGACTCAGTGTCGTCTCTGAAGGCTGCTATAAAAAAAGCCTACTTCTTCGCTAGCCCGGAAAGCATGTCAATAGCAAGTATCAATTCTAAGTAGCATTAAAGCAGGCAGTGATGAAGCCAACCAAATATTCAGTACAGTTGGAGCTGTTGTTGAAACATATGGCCTAAATGTCATCTAGCCTTTTAACCATTCAATCTCACAGAGCACCTAAAAAACTTAGTATAACGCCACTGCATTTCGGCACACGAAGCAGTCCGCTGACCTAAAGTTTTCTGGGAGGTTACTGGTACACGCATCAGTGCGCCACTGCCTCCAGAATCAAGGCCTCGTACTGAGGTACTAAATTCTTTGTGAAAGGCCCTTTTACTGGTGAATCTGAAGCTTAAAAACGTATAGACGGCTTAACTCAATTGAGACCTCAGAAGAAAATTGCCAAAACTTTGCCAAGTCACCTATCGTAATTTTACTTCACCACGGGCCTCTTAAATTAGCCAATTCGGCAAAAAGTGGTGACCAGTGGCCACCCTGACAGGAAGTAGAGTGAAGGTGCTCGCCATGGCTGTAGCTCACCACAACTAACTAGTGCGACAACATGCCTTTGCAAATCAGCATATAAAAGTTGACCAGAGGGTAAATAAATAAAAACAAGAAAAATGTTCTGTGACCATGAGTATAACAGACTTATAGGTAGATTTGCAAGTGTAAGTGTAACTCACGACAATACTGCCAAATTAACAAAGACTATACGTATACGACCTTAATATTTTTCTGACAGTGATCTACTCTAGTTCACCGACAGGTGTCATTGTCTGGCAACAGAAGAGTCAAGTTATGCATGGCTTCCATAATTATCTCAGCCAATGCGACATTGCTACTGTCATCCCATTCAGAGCGCTTCAATGGAAGTGCAATTTTGTGAACGTTTTTGCACACCACGAGAAACCGGCTTTAACCGAAGCCTCACGCATGACGTTCATTCATATTGTTACGGTTGAAAACCGTATCATCAATAAAATAGAGCTCTCGGAGGCTTCAATCGCTGTTGCACCGCCTTCCACACCCCTATGCCGGGGTTTTGGAAACACGCGGCGCTTGTTGCTCTTCACGTATTAAGACACATTGAAGGAAATCAAATCCAGTACTAGTGTTTATTATGTGCTTGTTGCAGTCATAAATGCACGGGATTCACTCTATCTGGCGTCCACATTGATGCTGATAACTGCGGCTACGGCAAGTAAGGTTCTTGCAGAGTCTACCTGAGGGGTTAAATTATGGTGATTGGCATTTATTATTCAGACGGAAATAAGCCGCGAGGCGTCAAAGTGGGCTGGTACACACCAAAAGGGTATCGAGAAATGCTGTCTCACTGTATCGGCCCAGGCAGGTCGACACTAAACCTTCTTGCATCTGCCAAACACCCATTGAAATGGTACTAAATCTCATAAATGAGAGCAACAAAAACAAGCAACTACTTCTGCGAACACACGTTTCGCATTTGTGTTATACCAATTCTCATCGTGATGTGATCCGGCACGTTTTTTAAAGACGGTAGTCTTTCTTGGGGACTTTCGACGCGAAAATTTTGGTCTGTCTGTCTGTCTCTCTGTCTGTACATTCGTCTGTTTATCCACCATTACCGGCACCGGGTGTTTGAAAATGCCAACTTCATCCGCAGCAACCACCAATGTTGCTCAAGGTTTAGCGCTTATACTTATGCAATTGTCTACTGAAAAGCGATGAATGCGCATTTCCAGGGCAACCTTATAACACGTATATATTTTGCATGTGCGCCTTTTACCAGAAAAAGGCCTAGATAAGTAATTTTAAAGAGTGTAGTGCTTATCACGCTGCGCTGACCATGCAGCGCTTGCACGAAACGGCAAGTGTTTGCAACGCTTTTCCAAGACGAGACGGTGGTGACACTTACCCGTCGCCTTGCGTTCTACTTCCTATTACCTCAGAGACGGGTGCGCACACCAGTCTCGGAGCCACGCGTTTTGTTTCCCGAGAAAACTGCAGATGGCACTCATGTCTCAAGTGTGACGCGACTTGATGCGCTCGTTCGCCTCGGCTGCACGCTCGAGACACTGTAACGCAGCGCCTCCAAAATACCATTCACCGATTTTCTTGAGCAGAACATCAAATAAATCTTTTGTTCACTCTCTCCACACGCAAGACTATCGTCTTTCGACGACATTTGCAGATTACATGCCGAGACGGGGCCAAATTTTTTTGTTAAAGGTAATCGTCATAAGTGCTATATATAAAAATGGCTGCCTCTATTCGAGAAGTACTTGTACTTGTACTCAATGTTATGTCAGCACTGTTCTGTAACACTAATGGTTCTAAAATTCTCTACCTGCCCAGCCCCAGCCTCACTGTGGATTCACGCCTGACTAAACCACCTGGTTTCCATTTTGTGATAAACAGTGCGTAATTAAGAGATACCTATTGCGTTAGTTCCTACCAAAATATACGCTACTGAACTAGTCGACATAGGCGTGTACTCACCATATACTTCGAATGAGTCATCCTCTTCAATATTTTCGACCAGGTGCGCTAAACGACCATCGTCAGAGCGCTCGGCGGTTTCGATGGGTCTGATTTTTAAGTTAGCGCCAACTACGCCTTCCTGCACATTAGATTTTTTGACATTTATGTCAGCATTCTACAAAGACTTCTTGTCTGCCGAAATTAGGGCAGCCTCACTAATAGACATGAAACTATTTTTTAATTGTAAGCTCTAGCGATTAGTAAGCTATATTCTCTGCAGTTTTTTCATGCGATACAAGCAAGCGTTTGAAATAAGTGTTCTCATTTTTATCTGCCTGTTTTAAAGAGGTCTTACAACATTTTTAAACATGGTCCGAAAAACGCTGGCGACCGGTGGTCGAGAATCTTGAAGACCTGTGAGCCCAACAGTACGTCGTTTCACACGGCATAGAACATACAAAAAATTGCAAGATCTGCCAGCAACCACCGAACACATTTTCTACAAATGGCATATATCCAAGCAGATAGAGAGACGGTCATTGGTTTATTTGAGCATCGTGACCGGCATAGTAGCCGTGGCCTAAATGGTGTGTCACGACGTGCCTCGGAAGTGTTTTACCATATTCGTGATTACACTCAATCTTAGCCACGTGGTGAGATACGAGAAAACAAATTACTAAACGTCACGCGTTCGCTGACCTACAGTGGCCACAATCTTCGTCTATGGACTCTTTTCATAATTCGCAAGTGCACTTCCCTGCACTGCATATTTGAACAAGTAATGGCGGCACCTTTCGTTATTCAAATGGAGACGAAGTCCGAGCTTAACGTGGTGGGGCTTGTTAATTATTGATTGACTTGTGGGGTTTAACGTCCCAAAACCACCATATGATTATGAGAGACGCCGTGGTGGAGGGCTCCGGAAATTTTGACCACCTGGGGTTCTTTAACGTGCACCCAAATCTGAGCACAAAGGCCTCGACATTTCCGCCTCCATCGGAAATGCAACCGCCACAGCCGGGATTTGAACCCGCGACCTGCGGGTCAGCAGCCGAGTACCTTAGCCACTAGACCACCGCGGCGGGGCGGGGCTTGTTCATTAGGGGTGTTCATATTAAGAGAGGCCCTCAACATGTTTCCCATTATTGCGTAAGCAAATCGCGTTTGAACAGGCTATTTGCATTATACGAGAAACTTCTATTACATGTTCAAACCGCCCAGCAGGCAAGCTAGCTTTACAATTCTGGAAAGTTTCGATTGTACACGAGCGAACTTCTCTGTGTATCTTCGTCATAAGGCCCAACTAACCAAAAGGTGTGAGTGAGAACAAGTGCATGCCACCGAAGCACGTGCCCACGAATCAATTTTTTTTTTTGCATCTTCGTTACCTCGTATGGCACTGAAAGACAGTAAAGACGCCCTGCTCACGGTGGTTGAAAACTTGATTGGCTGTCTGTTTCCAGTATTCTCGGTAGATGTGAGTGTACTGACTAGCAAGGAAAAGAGAATGTGATCCGAGCGTACGGCAAATATTCGTTCATCCACTCGTATTCGACGGCGTCTTTTTTTATTTTAGGGGAGAAGCTCCTTAGCACATATAGCCTTAGTTTTCGTTGTGATTATGGTATAGAACTCTTGCTATAGTCGAAACGTACATGAGATACAAAAAAGGTGTTACAATAAAGTTGTTTACTGCATAAGCGTTTCCTTAGGCATTAGATGAAATAAGTATGTGATACAGTTTGTTTATCGAGAGCCTCCTTGGGCTGTCAGAGCTTTTCTCGGCCTGTTGAGCAATCTCAGCAGAAATTAAAAAGCGTGTGCTGTATGTTCATACCACTCTTACTGCCCCGTCTTCTTCGGAAAGCATCACTGCAGCATAACGTTTTTTGTCATGATACAAGTCTTTCTGCAGCTCTCGGACGTTATGCTGAAAATGAGAACATTGTATTTTACAAATAGTTGATCTAGAAAATATTCAGTTCAACAAATGTTTCCAGTGTGGCTTCTTACGTAACCACGATAAGCAACTGCATGCACATCTCGTGATCTACCGCATGGACATTATTATAGCTGTTTTTTTTCTGTAATAACAAGTATGAGGCTGCTTTATTCACTTCAGAGCTAAAAAAATGGATATAAAGTACATTTGGCTTGGCATGACATAACAATACTACGTGTTTATTTATACCAATGTCATCATTTTTTTTCTAGAATTTGTTGAATTGTTTCGTATCATGCTTACTCTGCTTGCCTATGACATGTTAACAAAAACCACAAAAACGCACCACCATAAAATTATATGCCCGATATTCTATTGAACAATCAGGGGAAGAAAGTTAATCAAATTTATTTCTGTACATTTTTTACGAATAGCGTTCTAAATATAGTAAAGCATTTTAGACCGAACTTTCACAGTTATAGCACGCAAAGCGCAAAATTTTTACAATGCAGAATTTAACGGCAGTCATTTTCGTGAACCGTGACCTCAATCTCGTCCTCCGTTAGTTAGACTCCTTGGTGCGTCAGTTCCCATTTCGTTCTTTTTCACATCGACATTTATTGCCCAGATCTTGTTAAAATAGGCTGCTTCTTCGATATCTCAAAGACGCGTTAAGCTTCTCGCAGTACAAACTTCAATGTCAATAAAAAGGGATTGAGACCCCCAATTTTTGGTACAATTCATGTACCTGGCGATCTTAATGTGTATCGCTCTACGCAGAAAGTAAATGTTGCAAGCAAGTGTCCCAGCAAGGTAATTTTTGAGCCTTTTGAACTCGTCTTTATATAGACTTTTTGTGCGCAGAAGCCAGCAAGTGGAGACGCATGCGGAACAAGTTTAACTCGTCTTTATATAGACTTTTTGTGCGCAGAAGCCAGCAAGTGGAGACGCATGCGGAACAAGTTTGCACCGAGCTATGCTTGTGCAGGCGCACTTCTTTCTTAATTCAAGGGATAACTGTTTTTGCATAAACTCCAGTAAGCAAGCCTCCTCCAATCTTGAGAAAAGAGCGTCGCACATGAGCCAGAACATGCGCGTTTCAGCTTCCTTGTAGCTAGAAAAGGCGCAGTGTATCAAATTTTAGAGAATTAGGCTCACTGTTGCACGTTGCACTGTTCCATTTGGTAGTGCCACTGCTTGAGAAGCAAGAATATTTAGAAGTTGTCGTTCCGCTCCTTCAGGCTGACCAGATAACGGTGCACTGCCCGAGAGCCACTTTTCTTCCCGGCGTCTACTGGCAAGCAAAAAAATTTCCGCCATTTCAGTTTCCAAAGGTCAAACGCGTCTCTCTCGCTTCCCCACAGTCAAGGTAGATGGACGCAGAGTGCTTTGGAAGGTGTTCGTTCTCTATCCACCTCTCCCTGTTGCATGATTCAGCAAAACTTCTAGCACCCATCTTCGGAAAGTAAATGCCAAAGAACAATATACTGTGTCCAGCCACGGCCGCTTACTTTTTATTTATCGGCTGTGGTGCAGCTTAAAGCGCAAAGCGCAGCTATGCTGTTACATCCTTCTAGCAGACGACGTAGTAAGCTCTGACTTTAACGAGAATGCATAAAAAGTAAAGAAAAAATTGAATGCCACTGTATACACGATTTTCCGCAGCGGCGCCCGTGTGTCGCCTTGTTTAATCACGTGACCATAAGCTGTCCTCCCATCCAGTTGCCCAAGCAAACCCAGTAGGCCAGCGAAGCGGCCGTAGCAGTAAGCGCCGGTAGCGGGGTTTCGAAAACAACATGCTAGCACCCATGCAGACGCAACCATCCGCTTCTATGCAAACGAACGCTTGGTACTCGCCCACTGTTGTCGCAGTAATAAATGAGCGGTGAAAAATCAGCTATCGCTTCATGAGCTCTCACGCTGCGGAAAAGACATCTGGTATGTACTGTCATATTAGAAGATCTGCTGTGTTCATTTTTGTTCGTAAGTATGACGTATGAACATTTACGAAAATTGGCGTTAGTAAAAACAGACATAGGCAGCGTTGGCCCTACAAACGCAAAGAATAAATATTTGGTCCCTCTAAGAATCTAGCCCTGGCATTCAGCGTGTTGACTAAGTTATCGACTACAAGGCTACGCAACATCTCGGAACTGCATTGGAAAAATACCCTATGCAGGCACAATGATGATGCAACATCCAATGTGATTGCAATACTGCCAATCAAATTTTAAGGACATCGAAATGTAGGATATTTATACAGACGTCACGTCCGGTTTGGTGCCAAATGTAGCTAATCGTTATACGTATCTCCAAAGTGTATTCATAAGGTTCCACTCAACAAAAAAATTACACCAAATTCAACTTGCCTTCGCATGTTTCGCGTTATATCGATTTTTTATTGCACGTGGGATCTGCATTTTCTTTCTGTAATTCAGCCTTTAGGCCGCAAGGCACCTCTTAATGAAGTACCTCCTTCCACGAATGTTATTTTTGTATTTTTGTGGTATAACCTGCACCCGCTACGACAGCCGTCCTAACGAGAGTTTGTCGTCCTAAATATCTCTTCTTGCATGTCTATAGGTAGATCTATTATTTTTAATCACCATTGTCTTTTTATTTGCGAAACTATCAAAATACAGGTCAACTCATATAGCAATGCCCACATTAGGCAGCTGTAATTTGAGTAAGAACACTCCACTGAGCATCCTTCATTTTCGTACAATTAACTAACTCCTGTGTTTCTGCTACTCACGTAATGATGTTCCGGAACTCCATTGCGATACGTGCGAATGAAAAAATCTTCATGCAGTACGGATATGGGCTCGAGGTTCAAGCTAATATCGTCATTTATTTTGAGAACTTTTGTGTTTTCGTCACGTCCATCGAAGACTTGGGGATACGTGATTGCTCGGTATTTTGGTACTGTGGGTAAGCAAGGTAAATTAAGCGTTACATTTTACCACTGACTCTTCCATCATAGTATAGGTCTGTTTAGGTTACCCCTCTAATCTTCACGCTTAGAAGGCGCCAAATATGATCATAGAAGGGAAAGCAAAGACAAAGCATTAAAAACTTCTGTTTTTTTTTTCTTCTTGCAACCAACAAATTTCAGCTAGAGTCATTCCTTAGCGAACCCAAACTACCCCGTTTATTTTCTTCTACAAGACCGTCTATCGGCCAAGGAGAAACCCTCGGGATTCTTTCGTGATAGAGTCTTTGACTCGGTGCAAACTAAAACTGTCAAGGGAGGTCACAAAGGTTTCATTGATACGACTGTCTGACCATGACATGAATGTCGTGAAAATTCTGCCGTGTATGCAGTCAATCCCTTTGCTCAAAACACGTGTAGCCAACATCTCTGTAGAACGGATCTCAATACACGGGTCTACGCTGATGGCGTTTGACATTTTTTTTTTATCTCGAAGAGCGGCAAGAACTGACATTGGCCATTGAAATTCCAGAGCGTTAAATAAAACAAAACCAACAATGGCATTTACTTGACGAATGCAGACAACGAAAATCAGCGACCCAGCAGGAACGGAAGCGAAGAAGTTCGCGTTGGAGTGAAGTATTCTACCCTAATGAGCATTAGATATACACTCCCATCATCAGACGTCATCTCGTGTGAACGTTGGTTGTGGTTTCGGTATTGCATCCGCTTTTATATTAGAAGAAACAATTACTACTTTGAACGTACAATAAAACGCAGAACATGCCATTTGTTCTAGTTGTGCGAAAGCAATTACAGTTTTTTTTTTTGCTTCTAAGTGCAAAGATGAATATTATTGAAAATTGAAGAACAAGCATAAACACAAACTGCCAGATACTATGGGCCTTGCGCACAAAAAACAAATACGAAGGCTTTCGAATACTGGGCTGAGACAAGAGAAAACTGCTGCATTAGGACTGTATTGAGAGGCTAGTTTATTGCTGAACACGACTTTAAGCCCCAATTGAAGTAAACACAACCATAAAAAGTACTTCAACGTTTCAGCCCCAATTGAAATAACACAACCATAAAAAGCACTTCAAAATAACAGCGGTAAACGCCACCCATCAATGTTCGAAACCGGATATGCCATAAACTGCTTTTGCCCTTCCCTAAGCTTACACGTGGTGGCAACTAGAAAATTCTATATGACCGTTCTTTGTTATAGTATGAGAAATGATAGCGTAAGTGAAAACGTGTGCTCAAAAGAACAGCAACAGTAATATTGAGCGCAAATAGCCATGTGCTCATTTCTACTGTGAATACTTTTGTCCAATTAAGTGATGCCATTCCCGCGAAAAGCATGTTATTTTTATACCACTGAAACAAACTTGGTAAGTTTACAAAAAATAATTGTTAAATAACGGAGTGTTCTTGAATCTCGGCAATTCTAATTTTTTAACTCTTAACTCTTTACATCTCTGTCGAACGATTCTTGCTTTTAGACAAATAAAAGATTCGAGCTTGTTTTCACACACGCATGGCCACATTTGGCTACTTTCATGGCCATAGGCTCAAAATGGCAGCTTTCTGGCAAGCTTTAAAATTTTTCTCTCAGCTATTTAGTATTTTCGACCAGACAACACCACTCCACCTTCTGCGGCTATGCTGAGCAGTGTTCACTCTAACGGTGGACCAGCCTGTACACCAAAACAGGCTACCGAGTTTGCCTAACGATATCGATTGACACTCACTGTACCCCTACAAGGTGTAAAATTTTGATATCAAACCTAATATAGGACCAGAATTCTTTATATCTGTAAAAATGGCTCACAATGAAATCCCACACACACTGCGGAGAATGCCTTCTTCAATACCAGATGCCAACGATATTAAACCAGTTTTTTTTTACAAGTATTCACATCCAACTGTCTGAATATAGTTTCAAGAAACAAGTATGAACTATGTTGCTAAATACATCGCAGTTACCCAAACACCACTTTCTTTTGCTATTATGTTTCTCACACTTTATTCTTTCCTTTTGTATAAAAGTCGCAGTCTTTGTATGAGTGAATGAAAAATTTCTGTGGTAGATATATGTACGTTGATTTTGTTCACTAAAAGCAGAGCAAACAAGTTTTCTTTTGTTGTATGCTAATCTAGTGATACTTTTTAAAATCATACCTGTTGCTCTTCAACAATTCTTTGAACCCCCTCAAGACACATTTTCGCCTAAGGACCGCTGACTTGACATTGTTGGAAATAAACTTGACAACAGTTGAAATAATTTTAACAAATAAAGCATCACCACTCAAGAAAAAAATCCTTCATTGTGAACAGTGTCTTATAGTTTAGCGGGATATCGTTTACGTGGTTTACGTGCCCAAGCTAGTACGATGGCGCCAACTATTGAATGAATGATAAGGTAAAGAACAGGGAAAGGGAAAAGAAAAGGAGAATGTTTGCCTATTCCACCGGCCGAAGCATTATTACAAGTTTATTTTAGTATAATAAAAGTAAATATGAACCATGCGCCAAACGTGAAAACATTTATGTGCCGACTTATTTACATCGATTTTGTAGTTAAACCTAGACGCGTTCGTCATGGCAAGTCACCTGAAAAACTACGCCAACTTATGGGTAATACTCGGTCATCGAAGCTAACTGAAGGCAATTGAAGACACTCTGAACAGTCATTTGCTGCGAACAAAGTCAATTTTTCAACAACTACGCCAAAATCACTTCGAAGCTGGCGTCTGAGAGGGCCGCCATGTTGTAGGTACACTACATACACCTACGCTACCAGGCTAACGTTAAATCTGAAAAATAGCGCTCGTAGAGTAAGCGGTATGGGTAACACACGTATCTATGCACTTCCACTTTGATCCCGCTATCACGGTACGCCCGGTATCCCGGTGCCCCCGGTATACTATAATTGTTCATTTTGTCCTTCAAAATCCTCCAGCTTTCAAAAAAATTCTTCAAAAAAATCTTTCAGCTTTCAAGAGAAATCCCTTCAGACAGCGCACATTGCAATTTAAAGTAATTTAAACAGTTTATTCAGTATTACGGAAATGTATTTTGGCGCCAAATACTTTCATGGTTTAACGCGTCAAGTGTGTTCAGGGATGCAACGCAGCACTTTTTAAGGAAAACTTTGGTTTGCTGCTCATCATGAGTGACACTCTTAAGTGAGTGAGTAAGTTCATTTGAATTATTTTTTGTTTCTTTCCTTCGGGAACAGAGACTCTTTTCTTTTAGGATAAATCACGTTCACCACACATTATTGAAATGATAGAAAGAAAGTGCACTCACACTTCGCAGCACGGCAGCCTATGATAACCGCTAGCAGTTGTGCAACGCTCACTAAATTAAACGATTTCATTTACAGATAGAGCGAGGGAGCTGCTAAACCTCGATAACGCTGCGAAAGAGAGGAATTGCTGGTGTTCTATATATACATTTTCATAGATGAACAAAAGACTTGCAATGATATTTAGTGTGTAGGTTATCTGGATAGTGCGTTTTTCTTTCTTGGAATTTGCCAGCTGGGATAGCAATTTAGCATAAAAGGGAAACGTCATAAGATCGTGACATTTCTCTAGAAACTTTGCATCGGGTTTCATTTCCTTGTCCGTTCAATGCACGAGCAAACGCCAAATGGCACCACAATTCCACCTGTCTTGCAGATGACTTTGCCCCGCCGTGGTGATCTAGTGGCTATGGTACTCGGCTGCTGACCTGCAGGTCACGGGATCACAGCGGCTGCATTTCCGATGGAGGCGGAAATGTTGTAGGCCTGTGTGCTCAGATTTGGGCGCAGGTTAAAGAACCCCAGGTGGTCGAAATTTCCGGAGCCCTCCACTATGGCGTATCTCGATCATATCGTGGTTCTGGGACGTCAAACCCCACATATCAATCAATCAAATGACTTTGTGCACACGTGGTCAAGTGTGGGCACATGAACACGTATGCGCAGTTGGTGCCACATGCCGGACCTTCATATTAACCTTTATGAGGTCTCCTTAGGTGATGAATGGGAGCCTTAAGAAACCCTATGTACCCCTTGTGAAAACTCGCGCCGGAACGAAGTCGCACAGTGCTCGCTCTCAAGGCCTATAGCAGACTGAACGCAGCAGAGGAACCAGAGGACGAAGTTGAAAAGATGACAAATCAAGCACGTGCCGGTTTATGAAGCTAAATGTTTTTTACGCCACACAGCAAATTTTTGTACTCCAGTGTACTGTATATGCCAATGCTTTCTCCTTTTTTTTCTGACTTCTCTTTAGCGTATGTTTTATACAAGGTGTTTAAAAAAATGCGTCCAATATTTTTAAAAAATCACAAAAAGGCGCTATTTGCTCGCTGTCTTCACAGTTGCTTTTTATATAGTGGCAGGCATCTTGAGAAGGTTGAAGGTGTTTTTTGTAAGGGTAATCAAGAAAAATAAAATAAATAACTTTTTCATTTGTAGAGTTAGGCAGATATAATTCAAATGAGAGAATTGAAGTCCTTCATGCAAAAAACCAATTGCCCATTTCATATTTGAAAAAAAGCGGCCTCTAGTAAAAACTGTGAATTAAAGAATTTGTCCCAAGCCTGCGGCACACAGAAACCGAAACGCTAAAGAGCGCAACTCAAATTAGGGAGCTTTTGTTATATCAACCATCAACCGTCTTCATTATGTGGTTGTGTGCGTTGCACTGAAAATTACAGCACGCATGACACACATACGTTATCAAACGGGGAAGACTAGAACCCTGTAACTGCTGTTTTGAAAAGTGACGCCTTTGTAGTTGTTAATACTTGAAGCCGCTTTTCTGAAATATCAAAGCGGCAATGGTTTTTTTTTGTTTTTGCACCAAGAAATTCTATTGTCCCATTAGACTTAACTGCCGAACTCCACTAATTAAAAAGGTAATTCTTTACCTTCCTAAGTATGGATCCAATTGATGTCTTCAACCTTCTTAAGATGTCTGCCGCTACAGAAAAAAAAACTCTGAAGACCGTGAGCAAATGATGTCTTTTCCTGATTTTTAAACAATCATGAACACAATTTTTTGAAACACGTTGAATATCGTTCTATACCTGTCACCTCTCTGTCGTTTTCGCCTCGCCGCGGTGGTCTAGTGGCTAAGGTACTCGGCTGCTGACCCGCAGGTCGCGGAATCATATCCCGGCTGTGGCGGCTGCATTGCCGATGGAGGCGGAAATGTTGTAGGCCCGTGTGTTCAGATTTCAATGCACGTTAAAGAACCCCAGGTGGTCAAAATTTCTGGAGCCCTAGCGCCTCTAAAATTATTATGGTGGTTTTGGATCGTTAAATCCCACATATCAATCAATGTCTGTCATTTTCACGATTGCGTCGCCTTTATTCTTTGTTCTTTCTCTTTCCTTGTATGCAATATTTTTCTCCATCTCTCTTTTGCATACAAATTTTAAAGTAGCCTGTAACCTGGTCTAAAGAACATCCATAAAGTGTGTGTGTGTGTGTGTGGTGTGTGTGTGTGTGTGTGTGTGTGTGTGTGTGTGTGTGTGTGTGTGTGTGTGTGTGTGTGTGTGTTTACAGTGAAAGCTGTTATGAGATCACAACACCGGTGACGTGCAGCGCCATGCTTATCCGCCAACACCACCGGTGTCTGTATAATCACTATCGCACAGTGTAAGAAAAAAATAGTAAAGAAAAAACACCAAGACACCAAGGACACAGTGGGATTAGAAGCTAGGTCCCCTGCGTACCAGCCGAATATTCTAACGCTGAGCTACTCTGACGCTTTGAACTAACTTGCAAACTTGCCTTAGGCAGGCTTGATGTCGAGAAATGAATCGTAGCATTATGAGTATTAAAGCGTTTTAGGACAGCAAAGGAACAACTAGGCGTCACACAATAAGAATCGCGTAACGGGTGGATCGAACAATGCTCAAACCCACTACAAAAGCTTGTTCTTAATCATCTTGCTTGCTTGCTTGTTTGTTCCTTTCTTTTGTGGCTCTCACCCACTAAGGGGGATTGGCCAAGAAGCCGGTGGTTAATGCAAGTAAATACCTATAGATTTTCTAGATTAGGGGAATATGACTACTGTGTTTTGACTGTGAAATAAATTTGGCGCAATGTCAGAAAAAAAAGAAAAAAAAGGGGGGGGGGAGAAATAATAGAATTTGTTGAATATCTGTGGTGGAATCGTTATATGAAATTCTACTGAAAGTTGAATCATTGCAGTGTATCAGCTAAATAATAAGTGGTAGTGTGACTAGTAAAATTTGAGAGCTGATCGCTGACTCAACAAGGTAATCTTCTTGTGTTATATATGAATTCGCAGAGTGCCCCGCAGATGTTCCTGTCGCTGTGTCCCAATGAAGTGGCCCCAAAAGACAAAATATTGGGAGTATTAAGTGATATTCCTAATTTTCAGAATAAAATTTCGAAGCAGTTTTTTCTTTGATTTTTGAATCGGTGACATGTGATAAGAAAATGGTCGATATGTTCAGGTTCGTTACAGCTTGAGCAGAGAGGGGATGGCACCAGACCAGACCTGTTTAAGTAGAAATTGAGAGGTGGTACACGGCAACGTAATTTTGTTACCAAGACTTCCAATTTACGCGAGGGACACCATTTATTATTCCATGTGAAGTGCAGGTGCGAGAAATCTGGATTCGGTATCATGGTTTTGGATGAGTCTTCAAGAAGGGAAAGTTTTCTAAACCTCGCTGCTGTTACATAAGCTGTAGGAGGCATGATTGGCACAATCGGAAGATCAAGAGATGTTCGCGCAAGTTTGTCAGCCATCTCGTTTATAAATATACTACGATGGCCTGGCACCCATATCATTCGCACTAGACGAATGTTTGCTGGGATTAATGATTTAAAAGTCTCTAGTACTGCTGATGTCGACGACGATGATAAGAATGAACACACGGAATACGAGTCAGTCACTATCACAGCTGTCGAATGAGTCGCAGAAAGTTTACGAATAGCTAGTATAACGGCCATTAATTCCGCTTCAAATATTGGTGTATAATCTGGGAGGCGTAATGAAAATGACCAGAATAATGAGAGAGAAAAAATACCCACACCTGCCTTCTCGCCACTCATAGATGCATCCGTTGCAATTACTGCATTAGTACCTAATTGAGACAGGTGATGTTCTAATAAACCAATCAAATATTTAGAGGGCAAGTGTTTAGCGTTCGTGGGGAAGATATCGTCAAATTCTATTTGCACTTGGCCGATTGGTTTGACAGATGGTGTGATCTCGAATATATTAACATTTAAAGCATCTAGAAGTGTTTGAACAAATAGCACTTGGGGTTTATATACACAGGACCAATGCTCATTGAAAAAGACACCAGGCTCGGCAAAGAATACAAATTGTCGCCTTCTTAAAGTGGATTCAGAAATTTTAATAGGTGTTTACTGTTAAAATACGAAATCTGCAAGCAAGGGTGGGTATCCGAGCTTCTTGATACAAAACATTGTTAGCTGTGAATTTTGGCACGCCTAAACAACTACGTAGGGCTTCCCGCTCTAAGAGAATGAGGGGGTTTATTTTGTATGCTGGTCCACCAGAGAATAGTACACATCCAAATTCAAGAATCGGACGAACGTACATGCGATAAATCATGATCAGCGTATCTCTGCGAAGACCGGAACGGAGGCGGCCAAGCCTACCTATCATTCCAACAGCGCGTGTAGCCTTAATTTTAATATATTCAATGTGGTGACGCCTGCTCAGTTTTTGATCGTACAGTACACCTAGATATTTAATACAATTAACCTGGGGTATGATTTCTTGATGGTACTGAAGAGAAATAGTAACTGGTGCGTCTAACGGAAAAACTATTATAGCACTTTTAGTTACGTTCAGGTTCCTATGAATTTTCTGAAACCAGGTTTCCAATGTTGCCAAATAACACTGTAAAGTAGAATGTAGTGAATAAATATCGTTGTCAGATGCAAAGAACGCGATATCATCTGCATATACATATACGTGCACCTTATCACTCTGTGGTATCGAACTTAACAAAATGTTAAATAGCACAGGTGATAGAACAGAGCCTTGAGGAACACCTCTCGTTTGGCTATACTTCGGCGTGGAAACACCACGTTGGAAGCAATAAAATTTTCTGTCTTTTAAAAATTCGTATATCCAATTTGTTATGTACTGCGGGAACGAAAGCTCTTCTAGGGCATTGATAAGAATAGCATGTTCAACACTGTCATATGCCTTGGCTAAATGAAGGGTTACTAAGGCCGCATATTGTCGTCTTTGCCGAGCAAGCTTTATACGAGCCTCTAAATCAACATGCGCCTACCATATAGAGTAACCTGGTCTAAATCCAATCTGGCATGCACTGAGTATCGCATTATCTGTTATGAACTTCGTAACTCTAATGTAAAGTATTCTTTCTATTTCTTAACTA